GTCATGTCGCCTGGTGACGCAAACCGGGAAGCCAGGCTCATCGTCTATTCCGGCACGCCCAAAGGCACCAGCTCAGGCTACTAGCTCATTAAAATCCACCCCAAATGGCCGAGGGGGCTACTATCAGTGAAAACATCGACCTCGTTGGTGTTCAGTGAGCTTCTTTCCTGTGGTATTTGAATTACACCTAATGTTCATGCAGAGTTGGACAAATCTGGTCATAGATTCAGCGGAGCAGGTTAAGACGTGCAAAGTGGATGTGATGCTGCAGGTTCTCCTGCAGCGCGCTTCTGTCGATCAGACTGAACAGCCCGCCCTCCTGTGAAGCTATTTAAGGCCATTCTACAGGTTTGAAATGGGACTGCAACACCCGCTGGTAGGACCCCGATGGTCAATTGCATCCTTCTTGCATCAAGGACGTTCTTGACACATAGTAAGTGCTTTTTTTGCTGATTGGGTGTCGTTACGTTGATAACGATTGCAAGTGTGCTGTAATATGGAGGTCGACGGAATGCCTGCTGCTTCAGGCCTGAACATTATCTGTCATCAGCATTATACTCACAAAGGATATGAAGCAACCTCACTAGAACCAGGAAGCGAAACGGAAGCCCGACGTTGTCATCCTTCCTTTCCAAAGCTCGTGCGATACCTTTCCAGAATGGGACATGAAAGATCCGGAGCACACGATGACCGCTGCAACGATGGTGTCGGAAGAGAAAGTCCCTTGGAAAGATGTACTAGCTTCGATCGAGTTCAAGAGGATGGCCAAGACTAAGACAGGGCTTCGTCCGCTGCCCCCTTCATATGCAGTGACAGACTATGTCGCTACTTATCCAGAACATTGGGCAGTGGTCTCGGGGACAGCTGCAACTGACGGCCCCCGACTGCAGCGTCAGGCCCATCGCAGACCCGACTGTCCAGGTAAGTAACTAATTCTAGTTCCAGAGATGAAACTAGATCAATCCAACTGAGCGCCGTTTGACCCGTCTCGCTGCCCATCAGCAGCTCCAGTTCTAAGCGCAAAGCAGAGAATCATTTGCAATCCTCCAGCAAGCGAGTTAAGGTCAAGGTCAAGGACCCTAAGTTAGATGTGACTGTCCAGACAGGACTCTACGCCGCCGAAATGTTCGCAGCCAATGTTGCAGTCAAGCATGTTCTCGAGATTATTGTCGTCGGTCTGTTGTTCTCCCCTTTGTCTAACGGTTCCACTCTTACTATGGCTTTCGTAGATAGTTTTATTTGGGTCTGGTATTACGATCGGTAGGGCACAATTCAATGCTCGGGCATCGACTTCATTGCAGATCTCCCACGATCCATGGTGCTGTTATATGTATTGCAACGATTCGAGCTTAAGGATTGGGGTCGAAACGAGCACTTCAAAAAGCTGAGAAGGAAGGTTACCTTAAACTCAACATTTACGGCATGGATCTTAAGCTGCACACCAGCTCCGAGGAGGGAGTAACTCACTACGGACTGAAAGGACGAGTCACCAACGTGTTCCCTATCACTAGTGAATTTCTCGCCAGGAAGTACGCGAACGACCCAGACGTCAAGAAAGATGGGCTGGTGGCCAAAATCTTCTGGGCAGAGCAGGACAGAACTAGCGAGCCGGAGATCTTAAAAAAAAAAGGTTGACGAGATCGCAGAGAAGAGGCCGTGAAAGGCCATGTTCCCCAGCTGCTTTGGGCTCACAAGTTCGAGAATCCCACATCCGCAGTCCTGAAGGCACTGGGAGTTCCAGAAGCGGAGAAGGACAGTCACATGCTCTACATCTTCGTATCACGCAAACTCCTACCCATCACGGCGCTCGAAGGCGAAGAGCTTTTCAACGTGTGGCGTCAATGCATTATGTATGTGGTTCCTTTCATTCATGTGGATCTCCATTAACATAATGCGCAGGTCACATCGATCTCTGGAAGGGAGGAGTCCGTCACCGAGACGTCAGCCCTCCCAACATGATGTTTCACAAGACCGATAAGGGCGTCCTGATAGGTGTCTTAAACGACTTTAATCTGTCATCGTTGGCAACTAGGCTGGATCCTCATGGCAACGAGCGTACGGGCACCGTGCCGTTCATCGCGCCCGACCTTCTTTCCCTGAGGGTCGACGAGGCGAAGTCGAACACTTACATCGTCAGGATGTCGAGTTTTTCATCTGGGTTCTTGTCTGGGTTTGCTTACGTTACAGGAAGGAGTTCTCCTACCACCGGAGACTCGCCTTTGGATGCATGGGCGACTACAGGCCCCGCGGGATGTGGCGAGAAGAAGTTATGGTTTCTGAATCATCTTTTGGATTTCAAACCGTCGGGAATGGGCCCACGTATATGAGTCTCCTTGTGGATTGTTGGCGGTGCTGAAGCAGATGCCGGACCGTTGGTACGTTCTCAGTATTGCCACAGGAATCAAAGCCGGAGCGAACAGACGACGAGGAATCAGCCTCAGATGTCGATGACGAGCAGACGAACGCCGAAGTATCAGAATCGGATATCGATGATTTTCTGCACAAATTTTACAAGTCTCAAAAGCTGGATTCGCCTCGGCAAGCGTTTACCGTGATTTTCTTTACTTGTTTAGACTGCACCACATGCAACCTGCCTTGTTTCGATACTCATAACTTTGCGTCAGTCTATACCAATACAAGCGGGAATCTGCAACCGGTATAGAAGGACCGTAATCTAGAGAGGTAGATCATTGTAGATTATGTAGTCCAATGGTTCTTAATTCGCAACACGGTTCATCCCGAGTTGCTTGAGGCTGACAAGTGGTATGGGAATGGACACGCATCCAACGCAAACTTTGCACGCATTTTTGGTATTCACATTTGCGCGATCATCAACATTTTCGAATAAGCAGATTTATTCCATGATCACACGACCTTCAGCCTTATGCGCCTCCATCATGCCTGACCATTCCCGCTCCTGTGGTACTGGTTCTAAACAGAGATTTCAGAACACTCGTTTATTATACCACCCCGAGTCCTGACTACCGAAGGGGAACAAGAGGGGAACGGAAGATGAACATGGGTGGATGCTACTGCCTCTCAGCTCGTTACACAACGGCGCTTGTAGTGTAAATGTGTGATGGCGCCTATCATTACAGGATGCGATATTGGTAAATTAGTCGTAGCCTACGGCTTAATCACACAGGCGGCTACCCTTGTGTTATCCAGACTCTAAAAGGAGCCAAAATATGACTTATCGTGCAAGCACAAATCCGCAAAGCTAGACTTGATAAACTTGAATGAATGACTTGGATTCTACCCATTCGGGTATCGAGTTCGAACACCAGGGGACTTGGCTGGTTGCGAGACCTTCATGATTTCAGGTTGTCATTTGGTGTGAGTGTGGCCAGTTAGCTAGTGCCAGTAGTGATGCAACAAGATAGTATGAGACCTATTCCCCCTTTAAATCTACTTCGGAACACCAAATAACTATATAAATACCACGGCGAAACATGGAAAAAAACACCCGCTCCGGACGACTGTTAATCACATAAAGCATCTCCCGTGCTACACACTGCTGCTAGTCGACACATGCACGTGCTCCTGGAAAGCAATTGAAGTCATGGCGGTTGCTGCATCCGAGTCGTCCACGAGCTTAGCGTTAAACTCTCTAACGCCAAGGATCAAGCGTGGCCCCAGGACAAACATCTGCACGAGAAAGACAATTTGAGAAAGACCATAATAAATCTGACTTCCCAGGGTAAATGTGTTCTATAGAAAAGATGAACCATGTTCGCATGCAGAACTCAGTGACACGTCAGCATACCGCAAGTGTTGGAGACAAATTGCCGAAGTTGAGGCAAGAACTAGCAAGAAAGCTAGGACGTGCGGAACTTCAGCGGAAAAAGAGAATCGCATTGACATTTTGAGCTCACCTCGCAAAGTAAACCACGTGAGATTTCATTAACACTGTGAAACAGTCCCCAATAATCCATCCTGCCGAATGTCCTCGTAGTTCACGGAAGTGTTTTACAGCAATCCAACCTGCGAGACACAGTGCGAGGACCTCCCATATAGTGGTGAATGTCCAAGATATGGAAGTCATAAGGTTGCTATCTCCCCTAACGTTAATAAGGCACTGATAGGTACCGGAGAGAATGACCTCCTCTGGAATTGGTCAATGAGCCTCATGCAAGTCTTTCATTCATAGCTACCGCTTACCCGCCGTAATGTTCCACAGTTGTATTGCGACGACGACTCCATCAACGATGCTGGTGGCCAGCAAGGTGACAACGATAAGTATCAGCACCTTTCTGGATTGCTGATACATAGCATGTAACCGAGCGATCATTATGACTTGCGTGATGTTTTAGTCATGTCGATATCACTGAGGAACTGCAGCTGTGTAGCTCACCGCCCAGCAGTGCGTTCACGACAACAGTCGTGCAATTTATTGTGACGTACATCTTCTGGCCTGATAATTTAGTGATCAGCATCGGAGGATCGCACACTCCACACACACTTACAGCTGTGGCAGTCATTACATGGAACCAACAAGCTGGTCAATAATATCACTCACCTCTACATGGGAGCTGAGTCGGTCGACGGGAGTAGTGGAAATCAGGGCAGAAAACTCACCATGTCTGTCCCCGAGATCGTCGGAACGGTCACTGTATGTTGCCAGTCAGAAGAAAGAAATACGGTGAATGTGAGGAGACCTACGCAGCACGATGATGCTGATCACGAGAAGTGGTTGATTAGCACAACGTCAATTGCTTAGCCTTCTGAACATACACAGCATATATTATTCCAAGGTAGCGCACCTAGAAAATTCTCAAGTTAGTACAACCTGTCAACCACACTTGTGATATACATACACTGAGGTACAGGGCAGTCATCAGGGACCAGCGTTGCCTCTGTTACGAATTAATGTTGTTCTTCTGACCATGATGGTACTCTACTCACCCAGATCAGTTCAATCTATACAATCATTCTTAGCGAGATGGCTGCTCAAGTAATGACATCAACCCACCTCTTGTCCGGATGACAGGGCTGGAAATTCTATCAGGATATCAGCAGTTCTTTAATGCTACCTTACTCACCCCAATCGTATATTACACCAACAGCAGCGACAACTGCGAAACCGCAACCAAGGTTAGATCGAGATAATCATCATCCTGGTGGCTCTCCACAAACCTGTAAAGTAGCTGCCAATACGACTCGCATTGATTATCGGCCAAAAACTGGGATCATCTGAGACCACGGTCATACTGTTAGAGGATGTAAAGTTGGTAGGCAGATAATGATGGAGTTCGTGCTACATATACGTAGCGCTTTCAATGTATCCGATGATGTAGGGATGAGAGTAACCACTGTTCCTGGCTTCAATGAATGATTGGAGTACGTATTTTTGCATGCAGTCGAATAGAAAGGAAAAACCTGCTTATCTCGCCATAGGTCGCAGGGAAGCTGCACAGCAGTCGCGCGGGCCGAATACTCGAACACCGCAAACCATCAAAAAATCGCTGGTGATTTCATCAACTTGCACTTCGATACCGTCAGTTGGGTTCCGAATCAGTAAAATCATGTAATTCACTGATCTCACACAGGCTCGCGATACGACCATCAAAAAGCATGCCATCTCTTGATTCTTGAATGATTCTCGATGAGCTCCATCCGCCTCGCCGGCCCAGACCAGGGGAGTACAACCGCTCCTAGGCATGAAGCCACAAAGGTCAGTTGTGAAAAATAGTTGGCGGATCAAAACAAAGAAAGGCTGAGCACTCAATGCATCAACCCTCACAGGCTCAGCCAAGATACGTCATGATCATGATCACTGATTGACATCTGACAAATATACGATGTTATCATTAGATCAAGACGGAAATGAGAGGGCACATGGGATAAAAGACGACTCGGACCACTGCGTGCAGCGGCCAGCCGACCAGGAACCGCGACTTTTGTTCTTCAAATTGTAAGTGCTCATTTCTTAAAATGATGATGGCCATGTTCTCGACGAGCCTCGACAATGTCTCATCCAAGGGGTCTCTCAATAAAATCTGTTGGCAAGGCATCAGAAAATCAGAGATGAACAGGTAATTCACATTTCACCTCTCTCATCCGGGTTTCGATAAGGTGCACACCCCTCAACGATTAATCCAACACGTCGATTCCTTCACAAGTTCAATCACCTCATGCGCGCCTCCTCGGTCTCCGTCTCGGACTCATCGGGCTATAATGACACGACTCCCGTTCGCGAGCGAGTCAAGTTTAAGCTGATGATGCGAACCGGTAGAAGTGGGCCCTCCGGCTGCTGAGAATCTGTTGAATCGAAATTGTAATCCCATATGCAGGCTGATGCAATTGTTTAAAACGCTTGCCCTGTATCTGTCTCAGATATGTACCAGCCAGTCTCCAGCAAGTACATTTCATTATATTATTTTCTACTATCAATAATGTACATCCTCGTTCAACGTTCTTCCCATAGACATACAGATGCATATATGTTTTGAATACATGTTAATGATGATATCAAGGATATCAGGCAGACGCATCTGCACTTCAACGCTGACCGTCTATAATAACATGTCAGAAAAGACCAACGAGCGAAAGGTCCAAATAGGTACTCACAAGCCTTGGTCTCGAACTTGCCAATACCAACAATGATGTTTTGAGGCTCCTGGGGCTTGCCAGAGAGGTAGTTCTCGATGATGCTTTTGGTGCCGTTTGCGTAACGAGCCTGAGCATCAAGAGTGGTACCAGAGTAGTGGGGTACCATGCCGTTACCACCGCCAAGGACGTTCTTAGCCGTGCGCAAGACGTGGTCTTTGGGTGCGGGCTGGACGTTCCAAACGTCGCCAGCGTAACCTGTTGTAATGTTAACTCGATATAAAGATATCAGGTAGTGAGGTCACGAACCGTTCAGATGACCACTTGCAAGAGCAGCAGCTACGGCATCCTTGTCACAGATGGCACCACGAGCGGTGTTGACGAGCCATGCACCCTTCTTGAAGTGCTTGAGAAGGTCAGCGTTGACAAGGCCAATTGTACCCTCATGCAGAGGGCAGTTAACAGTGACAACATCGCACTGCGAGACGAATTCCTTGAGGTCCTCGACGCGACGAGCATTGATGGCCTTAGCAGCCGCTGTAATTGCATGAGTCAAGCTGGAGATGACCGAGTATAGAGTGGTACGAACCTTCAGGTAGGGGAGCGTAGTCGTAGTAGATGAGCTCCTTGCAGTCGAAGGGCATCAAACGCTGGAGGACGCGGTAACCGATACGACCAGCACCAATGGTGCCAACGACCTTGCCCTCGAGATCGAAAGCGTTGCGAGCAACATCAGAGACCATCCAGTCCCCGCGCTCGATCATCTAAAGATGGCAAGCAATCAACAGAGGGAAACACGCGCCAGCAGGTTGTCATACCTCGTGTGCCGGAACAAAGTTCCTGACGAGCAGGAGGATAGACATCACAACATGCTCAGCGACGGAAACGACATTGGAGCCTGAGACCTCCAGGACCTGAATACCACGTTTGACAGCGGCGTTGAGATCAATGTGGTCAGAGCCGACACCAGCGGTGACACAGAGCTTAAGATTCTTGGCCTGTCAAGTATGAAACCGTTGAGCATCAACGACTCAATCTAGAAATGATCAATATACCTTCTGGACCAATTCTGCAGTGAGGTACCCGGGGTGGAATGGGGTCGTGATCAAGATCTCAGCCTAAGATAGAAAATAAGTACCCAGGGATATATACGCAGATACAGTAGTAGGGCTGTACTGGAGCTTGGACATAAATCAACGATGTGCTTCTGGAAGTCACTGTCAGGGCCCTCCTTGGAGTCGGATACCTGCACAAATGGATGGATTGAGCAACTAAACAAGCATGATAATCAAGAGGAACACGACACATACGATGAACTCGTGGCCTTGGGATTCAAGCCACTTGCGAATACCGAGCTGTGAAAGTTAAAAGTAAGTATGTTGTAGATAATAATCTATCATTCGAGACAAGACGAACCTGGTTCTCCACAGTACCGAGGAGACGGGGCTCGCTCTTAGCAGCCTCACCGCCCTTGTAAAGGATAGCGATAATCTAAAAGCGCGTCAGATCTTGTAATCGATAACAGGGGATGCATCATCACCTTCATGACTGGGTTTCTGTGGACTGAAGAAAGTTATGTAGTTGGTTGTGAAAGGGTGAGTGGAGAATGGGTCGTTTCGTTGTCGAAAGTCCAGGATCTTTATAGGGGGACGCGCTGGGCGTGAGCGCTCCTGCATTTCGGTTGACAATATGTGGGCCTGCCGCTCTCTGTGCACATCATGGCTTTCCGGTTTTTGCCTCAGGAAAGGATGGCGCCGTCCATTTGACAGATTCCATCCATTCCGGATCACGTGCTACGCACCCGGTCTCATCCATTTATGCCTGAGCTGTAATTAGCGCGTCGATAACCAAATATACTGGTCGGCGAGCGAATGAACGAGTAGGTATACTATCCCTTCCGGTACAATCGGTGCCCCACAGAAGTCGGCAGGTCACACATTTTAGCGCGAAAACGTGATACTTTCGTCACACGAAACCCTGCGAAAAAGCGTGACTGCCGACTTCCGTGGGGTGCCGATATCTGACGCGGTGTTACTCGCAGCTACGAAATTAACTTGGTCCGAACAGTGACTGCGGCAAATTTTCCTGTAATCCCCGTGACGTCGTTGTCGACCTGCTCCGCAAGGTACACGAATCTATTCTCGTCGACGGTCGTTCCGGAGGAAGGCGCTCGCACAGTTGTTGTACCATATGCGCATTGCGGACGAGATCGAAAGAAACCATTTCTTGCTCACGCTAATCTATGTATATACAGCGGACGTCCAAGTTCACCCAGGATAATGATATCATAGAAAACCCGGCAGCCCAGAAGGTGAGGCTGTGACTGTTCGAGCAGTCAGACTCATCTCACGTTCGAACGGAAAACTCCTTACCACAATCACCCGAGTGGACCTGTTCAAGTACGTGATTGTCACCGAAGAAACACCACTTTCTCCTGCGCACTCGAAGCAATCCAGGCGGATTCATGAATGATACCCAACCCAACACGCTCCATCAAACCCTCATTCTCACTGACCGCCATCGCATATAACATACATCCAGAGTAGAACCCTCCAAGACTTTCTTCGTCGCACACGCCAGGGCCCGCACTGGCACGGGAAAGGACGACGAACTCAAGAGAAGCCGGTAGAACAGGGTCTAATGGCAGTATGACACTGCCAACCCAAGTGGAAGAGCTGGAGAGGATATTGAAGAGACCATGGTAGAAAGGTGCACTTAATTTTTGGTCTTCTCTACCGTCATCTCGCCGTACAACGCTAAAGTGGCTGGAGGTCGTGCGGAAAATGAGGGTACCTGGCTCCAGTTGTCGATGAATGTCTAGCGTTAGCTGTGATGAATCTAAGATCCCTTTCGGTGAAGAATATGGGTTCATCGCTGCCTGTGACCTAGGATGTACAAAGACCCGGTGAATGCAGCGAACATCAAGCTGCACTGTATCACCACTATGGTCCACGATATACCAGGGATAGATAATCGTTTCCGTCACTCTCGGTTGGTCAGAATGACTATCGAGCCAGGCATAGAGTGTTTCCCCCACGTAGCGAACAGCGCCACGCCATGTAGCCCATGCCCAAGAAGGCCAGGCTGACTTGCCTTCGCCAGGGATCGAACGACGAGCGCGAGGAGTGTGTGGATCATGTTGCCAGACAAGCGCATGCTCAAGGTCTGTCAACGTCATTCCAAATTGAAAGGATTTGGCGGGGTCACCCCCACCAAGCTCAAAGCCTTTTGCCAAGGCATTCGTCACCGCAGTGATAGCATCGACAATGTCTGACTCCACGGTAAGGTTACGCCGTGTATACGGCTCAATGGCATACATGTAACTCATGACGGACTGACCCGGTGGGGTATGCGTAGGTTTTCGAAGGCAAGTGAAGTTTCCTGCACCTTTATACCGCAAGGGTTGGATAGACAATGAGAGGAACTTGCTTTCAGCGACAACGTCTTCGCAGAAGATATCACGTCTGCACTCAAAGTAGACTTGTTGCCCAGTGAAGTATATTCTTCGGCGGGAGAGCATAAGCTCTTGATAAGTCCAACCACGCGTGCTCCATGCAGATAGATTGAGAGCCTCGATAGGTGGTGGCAAAGGCACACAGAGATGAAGTCCTTGAACGACCTCGATGTGCTGCTGCGGTGGTCTAGTTCGTGGACGAAGTCCTGGGAGAGGGTCCCGAGCCGACGTGCCGCCAGCAGCATAAATAAGACCCGCCGTAAATCGAATCCATAGCGTGTATCTGAATGGTCTTGTCTTCTATATCATCTTGAATGATACATAGAGTGTCAATCCATAGGTATCGTTCGCCAAGTTGTCGAACGAGTTGAATCGAATCTATGATGGTATCGGGGAAGTTTGTCATGTTCAACCCGCCAGGCGTGGAGCGCTCTGCGAAATTATCCTTCGCCATCCAATATTCTGCGCCAATGCCTCCCCATATGTAGCTGAGGGCAACATAACGACAGGCAGGAGGTGCAGGAACAATGGCCATCGACACCACATCCACTATTCTCATAAATCCCGGCAGGCTCCTGTTGTCGCCCATCCACCAGACACTTTCACATATATCTCCATGCCCTTCCTCGCACAGTCCGAGCCACTTCTTCACCAGACCGACATCCACAGTATCGTTCACTCTGCGGCCATGAAGATCGGTCGGTCTTCCAAACTTGAATGCGTCTTCTTCCATGAGCTGTATTTCTAACACCAGCGAAGTCCGCGCTGCCATGATGGCTGGATATATCTCCCGAGGGCGATCCGGTGCATTAATGCTAAGGCGGTGGCAAAGTTTTTTGGGTTCGGGCGTAGGCTCCCGAAGACAGCCACAATCTAATGAGAACAGTTCACATTCAATCCCGGAGAGATCGAGGTGAGGAAACTTGTTCAACAACCATGCTCGACGGACAACTGAGGATATGAGGCGGCAGAATCCGCATTGGTCGGATTTTTTCAAGATGGATGAGACTGAGCCGAGTGGAATCGCTTTATCTCTTGGAAGGTCGTCGAGGAGAATCTGATAGAAATCTAGTTGTGCGCAGATGGAACAGAGCGGTGCGTCGGGAGTATGGTTCCTCTGTTCACCCACTTCAAATGAGTCTGCTGCGCTAGGAAAGGATGGAATTGAGTTCATCACCTGAAGATCATTTCGTGTTTGATCGTCTTGTAGGAGGGAGTCTGATTCGGAGATCCTATCAGATGCGACATTCGCTTTGTGTTTGCAGACGACTAATAGCCAAAGAACCAAGATACCAAGAAAGCACCCTCCAATACCTCTAGCGAGGGCCAAACTATGTGCAGACACCAGACTGAGAGTCTCAAGACAGCGAGCGGAGGCTGTCAAGAGTGAACTTTGAATGTACTGTAGGCTCTGCATGGATATGATTACCTACCAGTGTTCATTAGCCTCCTTCATTGTGCGTCGATCATGATGGTATCATAGAATAGAAGGCTACAAGCAGGTTACGCACTTGACTGGTTGTACCCTTGAAGCTTCAATAGAAGAATGATACTGTCTTCCTTCTTCAAACTCCAGTGACTACAGGAGAGATTCACCACAAGAACATTGGCTAGTACTAGTAGCGAGAAATGCTGTGAACAGAGTGTTATTACGTACAGCAACGAGGCACCCTTATTGGCAAATAAGTGGTAACGCCCCTGATCCCTGGCGAATTGGAGTAGTTATACTAGACACAAACCTGCCTCGGCAATGCCAACTCCAAGACAGGATCGCACTCCAACAAGCTGTGAGTATCTGACATGCAGAGCCAACATCAAGTGAAAAATATGGAGAGCGTCTTCACTATTCCTAAACCCATGAGTACTGTCCTGGCAACGGGACTCGGGAGAAGGAAAAAGACCTAGAGTTGTAACATCGGGAGGTGACGTCTGTCTCGAAGGCACATACGGATGGTCGGTTGCAGACAAGTTGCAGATCCGGGATTATCCATCTAACATCCGGGCCCGGGCGCAATAAGTACCGATGATGCGACCTCTGCTTCCGCAACAACGGCCCTCGTTCAGAGTTCAGAGTGTTTATTCCTTATTGAAGTTTCCCGCATGCTCATGGTGAACCTCTTTCATGCTCGTAATTCGACCCTCATTTTCTCTGGATTTTCCCGCATCTCGTACCCGAAGACTGCCTTTAATATTCTCGAGCCCCTGTCTTTCCATTATCTCCCCACTGGCCAGACCTGCTACTAGGCAACATGCATCCCAAACGTCGCTTTTTCATTACCACTCGGGAGTCGGGACACTGCTACCCCACGTTACTCATATCGTCTTATACTCCTTTTTATTTATTTCTGAGCTCCCCAAGCAGGCCCCTTCCCATTTTCACCTTCCCACTCCTCGAACGTCCTAGTACCAAGACCTTCAGCCACATGCGCCTCTATCATGCCTGATTATCCACACTCTCATGCTACTCGCGCAGTTCTCAACAGCGATGTGGAAAACTTGATTTTCATCGGTTATATTATCGAAGTCTTACCTACTGAAGAGGAACAGGGATCGGAATAGGAAGATGAACATAGGCAAATTCCTGCTGCCTCTCAGCACGTTAAACAACGGTGCTTGTATCATGAATGGAGGCCAAACTACCATTACAGGGTGTGATATTGGTAACTCAGTCGTAACCTACGGATCTAATCACACGATCAAGTATACATACTCTGCACCATTCAGATTACAGACTGTGAAAGGAACCAAAACATGATTTAATGTACGAAGACGCAAAGCACTCAGTTAGACTCGATAATCTTGAATTCCACACACTCCGTCTGGTAATCAATCCGAGCCCTGAGAGGGATGTAATAAAATATGCATAGATTTATCCAGACTCATTCCTCCTTCAAATCTACTGCGGAACACCGAATAAATTATATAAATACCACGACGAAACTTAGAACAAAAAAAATCTCCTGCTCCCAACAAGTATTCACATCAATCATGTCTGTTCCACACCGATAGTTGACACATGCATGCGCTCAAAAACAATTGAAGTCATGGGGCTTGCTGCATCGGAGTCGGTCACGAGCTTAGCGTGATATTGTCGAACGCTAAGGATCAGGCGTGGCCCCAGCACACACATATGCGCGAGAAAGAAGGTTTCAGCAAAACCATAATAAATCCCAAATCCCAAAGATGAGTCCTATAGAAATGGTGAACAGTGCTCAGAGCTCAGTAACACATCAACATACCGCAAATGCTGGGGACATCAAACCGATCTCGAAGCAAGAAGCACCAAGATAGCTAGCACATGCGGAATATCAGCGGAAAAAGATGATCATAGTCGCATGATGAGCTTACCTCGCAAAGTAAATCAGATGAGTTTTTATTAAAACTGTGAAACAGTCCCCGATAAGCCCTCCTGCCGATTGTCGTCGCAGTTCATAGAAGTGTTTTACAGCAATCCGGACTGCGAGACACACTGTGAAGACTTCCCATACAATGACCAGCATCCAAGCTATCGAATTTCGAAGGATGCCATCTCCATCAATCTGAATATTGCATTGATAGGTTCCGGAGAGAACGAATTCCTCTGGGATTCGTCAATGAGCCTGGCGCGCATAAGTCTTTCATCCGTGATTAGAGCTCACCCCCTGAACCACCCCTCATCGATATTGCGGGCATCGAAATAGTGGCGACGAGTAAAGTCAGGAAGATGGTGACGAGAAATATTAGCACCGTTCTGGATTTCTGATACATGGCATATAGCCGAGTGATCATGATAACTTGCGTGATGTTTCAGTCAAGTCAATAGCATCGAAGGATTGCAGCTACGTAGCTCACCGCACAGAAACACTTCTATGGCCACAGCCACCCAATTGATTGTGTTATACATCACGTAGCCTGATAGTGATCAGCCTCGGAGAACCACGTACTCCAAACAGACTCACAGCTATGGCAGTCGTTATATTGAACCAACAACCTGGTCAATAATCTCACTCACCCCTACATGGGAGCACAGTTAATTGGACAGGAATAACGGGCGTCATTGCAAGAATACTCACTACGTCTGTCAACGAGATTGTCGGAACAATGACTACATGCTGCCCGTCAGAACAAACAAAACACGGCGAATGTGAGCAGACATACACAGACTGATGAGGCTGATTGTGAAAGAAGGCTGATTAGCACAAATGCTGATTGCTTAGCCATTCAAACATACACAGCATATATTATTCCAAGGTAGCGCACCTAGGATATTTTCATATCAGCACAACTTGCCAACCACACTTACGACATAATATTAGCTACATACACTGAGGTACAGAACGGTCATCAGGGACCAGTGGTGCCTCTGTCGTGAATTAATCGTATTTTCACGTTGTCTTCTGACGTGGAACTCCGCTTACCCAGATGAGTTCAACCTATAAAATCAGTCTTAGCGAGATGATTGCTCTGGTACTGGCATCAACCTACCTCTTGTCCGAATGTTAGTGCTGGAAACATCATAAGGATATCAGCGGTTCTGTAATACCATCTTGCTCACCCCAATCATACATAATCCCAGCAGAGGCGGCAACTATGAAACCGTAGCCAAGGTTAGATCGAGACATCACCGTCATCATCTGACTGGCTCTCTACGAACCTACGAAATAGCTAATGACGCGATTTGCATTAATGGATGGCCACCAACTAGGATCATCTGAGACTAGGGTCATAGTGGATGAGAGGGAGTGGCGAACTGGGTGGAAGATGGCGTTTGTTATAGATATACCACCATGGAGCGTTTTTATTGCCAGTGGAAAGTCAATGCATGGTCAATATATGGAATCAAAGTAGGTGTTGGTCGTGAAACCGCAAATCAGTCAAATGCGTGCAATGTTTGAACACCGCAAAGATCGAAAAACTGTTCGTGATTTCGGCAACTTGTTTCCAATGCCATTCTTGAGATGTTCATGCTACACGTTCATCAGTTAAGGAATCCATCAATGAAATCATGTATTTCATCCATTCAAGACAGGCCAAGTATGATGCAATCATCGAAAACGCCTGATGTCTCAATGCCTCGCTGGTCTGGGCGCGGGTCGCAGAACACCTATTTCGATGTCACTCAAGACGGTTACGTCCTATCTGCATAACAGAAAAGTCAGACATGAAAAATCGGGGAGGTCTAAACGAAGCAGACAAATGACTCGCCTGTCCCACACAGGCTGCCAACTTGAATACTCTCCTCCAAGCACACCTCTCAACGCCTAATCTCCCTGGTCCTCATCGTCCTCGGCATTGCATCTTGCCCCTGTGATCGGGCTATGATATCATAAATGATGAGTGTAGAATCTGATGCAAACCGCACCACACTGAAAATGCATCAATTGCCACAGGCAGCATCATGATTGTAACTGATATCTGGTGAACATATGACGCGATCCCTAGGGCAAGACGGGAATGAGAGGCGCATGTGAGAAAAGACGGCCCAACTTTCTGTTCTCCAAATTGTAAGTACCGGCTTATTTCATAAAACGTTGGTGGCCATGTTCTGGATGAGCCTCGACAGTGTCTCATCCAAGGTCTCTTAAGACAGTCACGTTCTGTCGGCAAGCTATCAGAAAAGTCGAACGGACAATAATCGGTAAAATACGACAAACAAGTAATTCAAATTTCAACTCTCTTGTCCGTGTTCCCAACGCACAATCAGGTGCAACGCTTAATCTAACACGCGGCTTCCATTACAAGTCCTTGGGACTAGTTGTTGGATATTTCGACGTAATCTGCAAGTCTCGCTATTAATATTAGGGCCTGGACAGCTGCCATTTATTTCGCAGTTTGTTTCGTAGTTTATTTTATTTACCACAACATGCACAAATAAATGTGACAAAGTCAATGTATCACGCACTTGTATGACACCACACCAATGCATAGCGTTCAGCGTTTCCACATGCTGCGGATGGCAGCCTCAATGATCACTCAACTTATTATGGGCATTATAATTGCATATATGACTCCTTTCCTTGGCAAACAGCCCTACCATACCTCAGTCCTCACTGGGCACACATGGGTGCAAGAACTCGTCAGCGGGCACCCTGACCAGATCAAAACTGAGCTCGGAATGAGGAAACACGTCTTCCATGTGCTTGTACACGAGCTCCGGACTTGCGGGCTATGTAACTCAAAATATATTCTGCTAGATGAACAAGTTGCTATATTTCTCTATACATGTGTGACAGGGCTTTTGAGCCGTCATGTTGCAGAACGTTTTCAGCACTCCCACACAACCACGCAGAAGTACATTCACACTATTGCAAGATATTCATTGTCTCACATGCCACATCAGATATTTCAAGAGAGTCCTGCTTGCTTTGTCTTTGGCGCCCTTCTACAATAAATTTGTATATCTTCCACGGGAGGATGCACCTATTCCAGTGGAAATATCTGGGAACCCGAAATTCTTTCCGCACTTTGAAGGGGCACTTGGAGCCATGGACGGTACACACATTGCGTGTTGTCTGTCCGCAGCAGAAAGACAACTGTCTCAAAACCGAAAAGGTTTTGTCAGTCAAAATTGCCTTGTGTGCTGTTCATTTGATCTTCGGTTCCAGTATGTGCTCAGCGGTTGGGATGGATCGACCTTGGACTCAACTCTATATAATAACGCCCATCTCACTGACCTATACATTCCATGAGGAAGATACTACCTCACGGATGCTGGGTTTGGAATCTGCAATTCACTTCTTGTTCCATACCGAAGTGTTCGGTACCACTTGGCTGAGTGGGGTCGAGCTGCAGTTCGGTGAGCAATATTTCACTTGATCTTCTCTTCTCATGCAAGGCAGGCCACAAAACTCCAAAGAAATATACAATCTTCGGCATGCTCAAGCTCAAAATGTGGTCGAGCGGATATTCGGTGTTTTCAAGAGGCGGTTCGTGATACTTGTACATCTGCCGGAGTATAGCATGTTGACACAAGCCCGAATTCCCCCAGCACTCTGTGCTGTCCACAACTTCATCCGAATTTTTGATCCGAAGGAAATAGAAGAATTTGCCGTCGAGGATCTTGTTGATCCGGATCCAGGCGAGGCAAGGGGTGATCTTGCTGAAGGACTGGTGGACCGTGCTGAAAGGCAAAAGGCAACAGAGGACAGAGATCGCATTGCAGATGCTATGTGGAGAGATTATCGTAGAGTGTGTCGCGCTCATCAGGACATGACAGGATGAGCACACAAAAGTATCAATACTATCTAGAGACTCTGCTTGTTGATAAATTTGATCTTGCGATCAACAAAAGACTTCCTTGGCCCATCATCGGACATGACCATATACACGTCAGCAGCGCTGACATCCATCTGAAAAGCTTCGATAAGCGCGGCCATGCTATCATTATCAAGATGTGTTTCTAGCAGTTGTGCACGCCGCATCGCTGCCTGTTTTCACTGAGGTGATAAGCCGATAGCTGATTTTTCTGACTGTGATGCTACACGGAAGACGTTGGTGAACTCGGAAAATTGATCATTTATTGCATAGAGTGCAGAGGCTGATCCACTGACACACTGGCATTTCGACGGTGGACCAGAAGAACAAGACCCAGAAGCAGTAACAGACGGCGTCAAGGATGTGGCTGTGGATTTTCACTTCGAAGGAGGAGGAGTCACTTCCCAAGGAATGATATCTTCTTCGTCTTCGTCCTGCTCTCTTTCTGCAACCGTCACGCTCTTGTCAACCTCTTCGACTCCCAAGTCTCCCATCACAGGTGCCGGCACCACTGGCCCATGCTCGACAGCAACACCCAGACCCTCATCACTGATATTGAGAGGAGCTTGTTGCGATTCAAAGGTTTCCTGGCCTGCATGAAAAGTGTTGGTGCCGCGCGTGATCTGTGTATGCAAAAGATCATTCATGTCGTCAAAGTGTTTCCAGCCTTTGTTGCAAAAGGGCCTTGTATTGGGACATGCATTTGCGAATGCAGTCCACCGCGCAGCATCAGCTGGGCCAATGTTTGCGCCCAGTTCCTCATCCCATGAAAAACCTGATTGCGATTTGATATCAACGATGGCGGCATGTTTTTTCTTGCACTGCAGTAGTCAGACTTTAAATCAATCAACTTGCAAAATAATAATGCATGCACCATGATCCATTTGTTCTTGCAAGATTGCCAGTCCCTTTTGTTCCCAGCTATGTGGTTCTCCTTCAGAATGCCTTCCAGCGGCTCCAACAAATGAGCCCCTGCAGCAGCAAAGGTTGCCTGTTTGAAGTTGATACCATCTCCACCTTCAGTGCGATGAAGGGCGAGATATTGAATAAAGCGGGTGGTCTCTTCCTCAGTCCAGTGAGTAGTAGCTGAGCTTGCACCACCAGTGTTCACAGATGCTGTACTCTTCCGTTTCGCTATGACTTGGCAAGGGTAGTATGGACACTGATTGAGTCACAGGTTGTCACACGTTGCCATGCCACATACAGAAACAAACTGAAGAAACAAACTGAAATAAATGGCAGCTGTCCAGGCTCTTAGGGGAGCTCAAAGTTGAACGCTCACGTTTATGATTATCGTTGCTTACGCTTACACCCCCCCGTTCTCACTGATTTGTACTGTTGAGTAAACAAGTCAAAATATGTCCGTTTGAAGTCTGTTTACTGTTACCGTGGTACTTTGCCAGCACTAAGATATATCTCCTGGTATCAACACCATGCCAAAGAAGGACACCGCACCCGCCATCCCAGATAGGAGGAAGGGTGGCGAGGTATCGTGACTCATAACATTGATGATTAGAATGGGCCACGTGCTCAATATCCACATCAAATCACCTCGGACTCCTCATCACCTCCTTCAGGTTGCTTGAATACGATCCCCGTCGTCTCATTGTTTTATACGCTCGATAACTTTATTCATCATCAAGGATTCCAAATCCCCATGGCATTCCCATTCATATCTTTATTTATATTATTTGACGATAGACAATATGATTGTGGATTATTTATACAATTATTGTATGTATTAGCCTTGAGATCTCCATATTTCAATTGTTTTGAGGATGTTGTTGTGGTTATCGTGTAATGATTAATGAACAGCTTGGAGTGAAATACAACGAGTGACGAATCGTGCTGAATCAAACTATGCAGGGCCAACTGTTGGTGTGGTTGAACTGCTATGACAAAAGACTGTTGACCTTGACTTGGAATCAGAAAAACTGAACCACAATCCTCAGTTTCGACTTGTTGCACTCATTGAATGCAGTCAACCGACTACGAGCTCGTGCTAGGTCGAATATGAGACTACCAGAGACGTACAAGATGTGAGACATCAATGGATGGTATTGATGGGATAGCAAAAAATACTACAACAAGATCACAAAGAAAGGGAAAATACATGGTGAGATGAAATAGGGACGTTCAAAGTTGGGTGCCCAACGCCCAACACCCAACACCCAACGCCCAACCTTGTGACCAGAATGAGTATACCTAGAATAAATAGAAGTCAATACCAAGTAAAGTCACCCAAGCCTACATGATGAGATAAGCTACTTACCTAAACCTTGTCGCGTGAAGCATCGAAACCTTCGCCAAACGTCTCCCCCTAATCCTCAGCATTTCTAAACCTTTTCATACTTTTCTCGTATCTAAACCTCACTGTTCCTAAACCTTTTCATACTCTTCTCTTACCTAAACCTTGCCGTTCCTAGCCCTCACCACAACCTTGTCATATATTTGATTGTAGAAACATGTAGCTGCATGTTTTTCTTTCCAATTTCATTGGAATTCCACAAGGAAAATTTATGTCTGAGCCTCAAAAACAACTCAAATAGTCTGCTGAAGGTTAGGAAAGGATTAGGAATAAAAAGTGAAAGGTCTCCTAAGGCACACAAAGGTTTAGGTACAAAAAAAAAGACTTTAAAAAGGTAGGGGTATGGAAAGGTTTAGGAACAGTGAGGTTTAGGTACAGGAAGAGTATGAAAAGGTTTAGAAATGCTGAGGATTAGGGGGAGACATTTGGCGAAGGTTTCGGCGCTTTGTGTGACAAGGTTTAGGTAAGTAGCTTATCTCATCATGTAGGCTTGGGTGACTTTACTTGGTATTGACTTCTATTTATTCTAGGTATACTCATTCTGGTCACGAGGTTGGGCGTTGGGCGTTGAGTGTTGGGCGTTGGGCGCCCAACTTTGAACGTCCCTAATGTCTTCTATGTGGCGCGATGACCGTCGTCGGGAGCAGGAGACACACAACAGAGAAACAACACCACACGAGCCGAAGATAGCGTGTTTGTCGAATCATCAGGACACAAGCAATATCACAATTAAGAAGCAAAGCAGCATCTTCTGGTGTCAATTCTGGATTGGCGAGGGTGCAGAGGACCATGGACAACAGAAATGCATGGAGATACTGATCATGTAAAGGAACTCGTGCCATGCATCAGGAAAAATATAGCTGACTACATAGTACTATATAGTTCGAATCGACCATGTAGCTCAGTCGTTACCCCCCCTGTATATAGAAAGCGAGGCAACTATGCCATGCTACATAGCGCCATGTAGAAACAGGTAGCACTACCAGGCACTACTGTAGTAGCCTGTAGAAACAGGTACTAGCGCTACTAGGCACTACTGTAGTAGCCTGTAGTTCATAGGACTGCCTAATACAGAGAGCTACCAGCTGCTACTAGCAGCTATATAGAGGGATAGAGTAGCACACAAAATAGCACGGAAACAAATAAATTCAGAATACATAAAACAGAGCTACTGACAGATTCTTGCATGATCCTCCGCGTCATCTTCACATCTGTGAGCCTCAACTCTTGTTAGCCTCTCCATCACTGTGCTCCTCGAGCTGGTACTCTCGAATCGCATCATCAAATGCCTTGTCACCAATCTGGGATGCAGCCGACAGCATAGTGAGTACTTGTTAAGACCGTGCTTGGGGTAAAGCGGAGTCTGAGGGGCTTGGCTTCAGCTCATACACTGCGCCCCTTACCTGAGTATGTGCCCCTAATTTCGGGATGTAGTCTGATGCAAGTTCTATGGGTTCCGACAGGACATCGGAATGGGGGTCCTCTGAAGGAGGACTGACGGACTACTAGGTGAGCATGGGAAAGTCAGGCGGGGTTGTTCCGCCCGACAGGAGGGAGGTGGGAGACTACTGCGGTCGGAACCAACAGTAGAAGTGGAGTGGAAGGAACTGCTCAGACAAAGTCTGAAGCAGAGCGGAATGAAGGGGACGGATGCGAGAGTGTGGGGTCTAGTTCCGACGCATGGGAAGTCGGGTGAGCGGAGGGACGGATGTTACGGGAAAGCCCGGCTTTCCAACAGTGCACTTGATAGGGTCAATCCTGTGTCCGCTTCATGGAGCACCAGGACGATGGAAGACTGAATGGAGGCTGTCCATCCAGAATGACTGACTAAAGGTTCAAAGAAGAAGCTAGAGTCATATATCACAAGTGAAGATCAAGTTAGAGAAATACATGGTCTAACTACTGGGGTATATATAGGTATCGTCCTATGAGTTCAGGGTAGGCTTGGGTAGCCAGAAAGCATCCCAACTAGGTAATCGTCTATGTGAGTCATAAGGACTCAGAGATAAGAGTACCGGTCAATTGGTAAGGGTCCAGGGTATGGTACCAGCACAGCGGTAGGTGTCCAAGTCAGATAACGCTATCTGTCATGATAAGCAATAGGATAAATGATAGTCAGTACCAGTGTATCGGTAGGGGCGATAAGGGAGAAGCACGCGGCTTCTATTGATCCCGGTCTAGGTCGGTTCCAGAGCTGTCCTGCTCCAACAGCTGTCATGCTGTGCTCTGCAGTTTAGTCACGTGCCGGTGATGTCATCTGTCACGTGTTGTGACGCGGTTGTGACAGCGATGTTTGGCGGAGACGATAGGGGTCTGAGAGTCCCTGTAACAATGGAGGAACGGGGGAATGGGGGAACGGGGGAACAGAGGAACGGAGGAGCAGAGGAGTGGAGGATTGGAGGATTGGAGGATTGGAGGATTGGAGGATTGGAGGATTGGAGGATTGGAGGATTGGAGGATTGGAGGATTGGAGGATTGGAGGATTGGAGGATTGGAGGGTGGCTGGCCTAGGGAGTCAATCCCCTAGGCCAGCTAACAGGAGTTGACTAGGATCAGGCCCAAGTCAAGGAACAGAAGAGCAGGGCTTAGAAAAGGTAATATTCAGACTGAGTATCTACAGACAAGTGTACATAGGTTTATATACTCTAAGTGATGAGCATAGCATAGCAGAAGGCTATGTGCTGAGTGTACAGGATTACAATGGGATGACTGAGACATATGAGAAAAGGCTTGGAGGAAAGTATGTACGTGACGGATCAGAACTTGCTAGGGTATAGGGATTACCAGGAACCCGAAAAGCGGAACTATAATACTAAACGGGGATAGGACCAGTTGAGTGGTTCCTAGTCTAGGAGTGGACCGGTGAGGCGGTTGGACGGACTAATGGTCGGGTGGGTCAATACGAGTGGAACTGAAGGATCCGAGCGGGGCAGAAAAGCGGAGGGAGTAGGAGTAGGATTGGGCGGACCGATAGGGTGGAGGAGCGGAACCCCAGATAGGGTCGGATGGAAGGGGTATGGGGTCGGAGGACATAGGGGTAATGTTGGAAGAGCGGAACAGAGTCGGGTGGAGGTAGCAGGGCTAATCCTGCTGAGATGCACTTCGTGCATTGTCAGGGAAGGAGGAATGAAGCAGACGGGGAAACAGGGGGTCAGGCCAGCAGTGGGGATGCTCATAGAAGGTACTGGGGGTACTCGGATCCGGTATATGACAGTACTTCGACACCTGCATGCAAACTTAAAAGCACATATGTTAGGTTGGCACTTGCGAAAATACAGTGTGACGTACCGAGCCCTGTCATGCAAACTGTCGCAAAGTCTTTCAAGGAGTTTGTAAGGTGCCATATGCTTGTGGAAGCACTGCAACGAGTCAAAATGAGCTTGGTAAATAGATGCATAAGTAGCCAAAGTGAATTTGATGTCTTCCTTCAGGCCTTGTAACCACTCATCAATACAACATTCGATCTATCAATAATCAGTGCTGTTGACATTAACATGAGAATATGAGACTTAACTCACAGCTGTAAGCACGAGGGCAACAACCTCGACAGGTATGGGGTTGAAATACTTGTGGTAAATGATACCCTCGTCATTTTGGTTTGCAAACCACATAATGTTGATACTGTCTTGCAGTAATTCAGATTTGTAGATCCCTGTCTTTGACATCCAGTCCTATTATCCAACAGTCAGGACTCAAAAGGTCATGTAGGCCATTGCGCTACGTACCTTGAAGGCAAATGCTGAACCGCCTTTCAAAGATTCAGCCAGATCTCGGTTTTTCCTTATCACCTCCTTTGAATGACTTGACCGGAATCCAAAAAATGAACTGGTGAGTGATCACATCTTCGTTTTGAGTTCACCGCGCACATGTGATATGCGCAGCAATAGCTTCATAATATATATAAAAATCAGACGAGCCATGTACTAAGAACAGAGAGCTTACCATTTTGACCGCTGGAGGTGTTAATTTGACTTGGATGCCTTTGATTTCGCATGCCTCATGCCACGCCTCTTTTGCTAACCTCATCTCAACAGCAACACCGTCAGGAAATGGCGCCCGTGTGACAATTAGGCACCGGAAAATTGAGGTCACAGTTCCAAGGATCTCCTTTGAGATTTCATCGAAATCGCTAGCTTTCACGCGTTGACGTGAACTGTTGAATATTTTCTTCAACTTCAGCACTACCATGGCTTCTTCTGATACAGTGTCCCATAGTCATTTGGTCCCTCGAGTAGCAGGTAATATTTCAATGGTGTCGTCATCCTCGTCATTGGTGTGGTTAGCCTCAGCCTTGATATATGTTGGCTCCAAGTCATCAGCCTCAGCCTCGATATGTGTTGACTCCAAGCCGTCAGGGTCATCCGAGTCACCAGACTCATCACTAGCATCATCCGCTAGAGCTGCATACATAGAAGCATGTTAGTTTTGCTATAGTCAACGAAGCAGTTACCAGTACATACCTTTTTGACACTTTGCGTCCTGGTGAGTAGTCGGCCTGCATGCACTGCCACTGATGGTGCGCGATGCTATTGGAATCTTCCCTGCACTGAAAGTCAGGACCTTGGCATTGGACAGCTTCATCTGCATGCTGTGATCTGAGAACTGAATAAAAATAATTAGCTGTTGTTCTAGTTGAAAAAACGAGTGATCAAACCATATTCTCTTCTTCCCTGTCTGTGTCACTATGCAGCTCCGAGGGCTCAGTCTCAAAGACTTCGGGATTGACTTGATAGGCGCTCTTCAGCGCCCTTTTTTTTCTGCTTTTCCAATGTCTGTTCCTTGCCTATTTGTCAATGGATGATATGTTGTGATTCAGATACTGTAGAGTGAGGTCGTGTTGCAAGTGAGTGAAATATGTCATTGTAGTAGTAACAGATGGCAGTGACTTACCTCAGTAGTTTTCTTTTTTGGTTGGTCGACATTGTCGACCACTTGTGGTGCATGGAGGTGTCTGCGCAGCACTCAATGTTAGTTGCTTAGAGGTGGCCTTATACGGAGGCATGATCATCGGTCCTTGGGATCGAATGACCTGTCGTTCAGCCGTTCAGCTGATTTATAATGCCGTGCAGGACGCAAACACTCACAATTTAAACCTTGTTTCATTGTTGAATCCAGGGCTTGTTGATTTTTCAGAATGCAGGGCTAAATGCTGTGTTAGTTAGAGAATAATAAAAGGTATGAATGTACTGTCAGTTACCGTCACGATATATACTGTCATGGATACTTCTAACTCGGCCAGAAAACGGTATGGAGCTCAAGTCAAATACTCACCGTGACCGTGCTCTGACAAATGACAGGCCAATGTCACCAACCACTAAGGCTACCTGTAAAGACAAGAAAATTGGTGTCAAAAGGTGAATTAAGTTACCCCTCCTCCTCATCACCCCCAAATACTCACTAGCTTGCAGGCTGAAGCTTGAAGCGCCTAATGCAGAGCCCATGTACCTGCTCCCTCCATTTTGTCAACATGAAGTGCCAGATGCTCGTCAACGTGAAGTGCCAGATGCAGAGCCCATGTACCCGCTCCCTCCATTTCGTCAAACACCTGGCCCTATCTCAGTTTCTCAAACATACTTATGAAAACTCGTCTTGGAGCGTTGGGAGGCAGAACTGAAGGCCTGTCAGAAAGCTAAACAATTGCAACTGTTAGAAATAGTGCCTGCCAGTGGCATGCCCGGCCATGCAAGACTCGTCACTGACCGCTGGGATGCAGAAGCAAAACATTGTGAAGAGGCAAAGTGGGTGCAACTACTAGAGATACTTCTTGCTGCCCATGGCATTCGCAGACTAGTGTAGTGCCGTTATCTGTAGTAGTGTCAGCAACAGGACCTGAAAAATAAACAGCGCCGAGCGCCAGGACCTGAAGGCAATTACTTTCACTCTTGCACTTTGTGAGGGTGCATCTGGTCATTACTTTCACTCTTTTGGGCGCCAGGACCTGAAGGCAATTACTTTCACTCTTGCACTTTGTGAGAGGCCGTCTGGTCATTACTTTCACTCTTGCACTTTGTGATGGCGCATTACTTTCACTCTTGCACTTTGTGACGGTGCATCTGGTCTGGTCTCTGGAGGCAATTACTTTCGCTTTTGCACTTTGTGAGGGCGAGTCTGGTAGTACTCACCATTGAAAAATAAAGAGTGCCAGGACCTGAAAATTAAACTGCATGAAGGGCGTGCCATGCGGTTAGATCCGGTAGTAAAGATCTGGTAGTAACCTGTGCTGTGAGTGGTTAGAACAGAGCCAGAATTCCCTTGAATAACTCACCCAACAATGCCTCACATCTGCAGATTCTGCGGCAAGGAGTTTCCATCAAGAGGACACGTCAATAAACATATAGCTGTCCGCCCTGAATGTAGAAGGCAATGGGAGATGCTGGTCAGTGAAGATACTACAGACAATGAAGGTGGCCTACCAGAGGGCTCATTTTTCCTGCTTCGGTGCTCACGATCCAATTCCCTCAATGAGGACAACCCAGCAGCATCCAAAAATCGGCGGGTGACGGTTGAGGATGCTGCCGATGAAGACAAGGACAAGGCCAATGAAGACAGGGACAAGGCAGGGTGATATTTTGAGCCGTGTCCTGATGCCGGCTGGACATTGCGGGAGGGTCAAACTGGTTTCGAAGAGTATCAGTCCCTGGTCCACAAGACCGTTTCGATGTTTTTCGTCAAGTTGTAATTGTTGCTCCATCTAATCCACAGGCCAATGATTCTCAAAAGCGGTGACGCATTTGAGCGACACCTGAAGTACGCCCCGGTCCTGGTCGGAAACCTGGAGCTCCAGCTCGGTTTGATATGGCATTGATAAGTGATGGTGTTCGGACATTGAGTTTGCACACCTTAGATAGTAAGTGACTCTGTTACTCTTCCAAGCTTGAGGTCTTACCTTGATACTGTAGACTTGCGAGTGGCTCAAGTTCGTATCGTTTTCACACTGCCTTGTCAGTTCAGGACTTACTCCTGAGCTCTGGCTTACGTTGAATGGTTCACTCCACTTAGAGAGCCAGACCCCTCTTCTGGCCTGCATCAGGTATCATGTTCGACTCGTCGACTGCAATGAAATGCAGCTATTATACACGTTGATGAAATTGTTCGTCTGTGTTATCTGATTCCCAAGATGGGACAGTCTGTTGACTGCGGGTGGATGAGTGCAAATGCCTATGAGTTGGCGAGTGATTTTTACTTAAATTCCTATATTGACCTTGATACATTTTGTATGACTGCTATGGTTGATTAAATTACTACATAGTCCCAGTTTGACTCAAGGCGCCTCCTGTAGCTTTATATAGACTGACTGTGAGCTACATAGCCGGTGTAGAACCATATAACAGCCTGCTTGCCTACATTTCACTATAGTGGCTACACAGCGCTATGTAGCCGTCACTAGGGCTTCCAAGATTTTGAGTTTTTCCTGATGTGGTAAGTACTAGCAGCCTCACTGTGGCTGCACAGCGATCAAAATTTGCTAGGATTACATAATCAGTTTTGGCGTGCGATGGGGGGGTGTAAGCATAAGCAATGATAAGCATAAACGTGAGCATTCAACTTTGAGCTCCCCTATTCATTCGTTTATCTTTACGCTCACTTACTGCACACACGTACAATAGTACACTTACTGTTTACATCATTGCTAACACGGACAGGTATATAGTCCTCGCATCCGCGTTGTTCCACCTCAGTTGATTCCTATCAGACTGAGGTGAGATCCCTGCGTTCATTATCATATTTAACACTCACTAACACTTACCGTAGCCATTTGTTTGTCTTTGCAGGTACTTATACTAATACCAGAGTTGATTCCTATCAGACTGAGCCATTCGTTTGTCTTCGCAGTCCTTCTGTCTGTCGCTACTCACAACAGGTCATGAGCCCCATCACTTCTTCCATATCAGCCTTGGGCATCTATGCCGTTCTGAAACTCACCAAGAAGAACTGGGTCAAATTCAAGACAAAGACCATCATGTTGTTAACGGCGCGCAGCTTGAACCATCACCTCGACGGCACCATCAAAATTCCCCAGCCACTTCCTTTGTCAAGTGATGGCAAAAAGACCATGCTTCACGACAAGACAACAGAGGCAACCAAAGCTGACATTGAGTCAAACCTGACCCTCCTTGACGCGCACACGCAGAAGGAAGCCCTCGCTACTCAGCAGCTCTATGCAACTGTTCCGAACACCGTGATGATTCAGGTGCAGAACAAAGGCTCCGTCACAGCAATTTGGAAGGCCATTTGCCTCATCTACGAAGGCAAAAGTGACATGGTCCAGGTAGATACTCGTGCTCGTCTGCAAAGTATGACGTGCAGCGAGAACGAAGATGTCAAAGCACACTTGACGTTGATGCTGGTATTATGCAAAGAGCTTGCGTGCATGGGTGCACCTGTCAATGACCGAGATTTCACTGCGATGATCATTAATTCACTTCCCGAGTCTTTCCGAACTCTTATATGATCCACGACAGCCGCCATTCGTGCTATCAACCAACCTGTCACCTCGGACAAGGTCATTGCTGTTGCCTTTGAAGAAGCTGATCATCGTAACATCAGAAAGTTGTCAGACAAGGATGACTCCACATTGAATGCCTCGTCATACAAGGGTCACCAATGTGGAAAGAAGCCGAACAGAAAATTGGACGTGAAGTGTTATAACTGCAGACGGATTGGGCATATGTCAGCTGACTGCTGGCATAAGGGTGGTGGCAAAGAAGGTCAAGGTCCTAACTAGAAAAAGTTGGAATCAGCAAATGCAGCTGCATCGTCTGACCAAGACTACACATTTTTGACCTCCGACTGTGTTGATGAAGCTAATGTACTTCAAGTTCCCACCGAAAGATGAGGAGCCATTGTCGATTCTGGAGCCACTTCTCATTTTTGTCCCGACCGTGTGAAGTTCAAAACTTTTACCACCATTGATCCCAAACCAATCAATGTTGCTGACAGACAAACTCTTCATGCTGTTGGACGAGGTGATGTTGAGATAGAGCTACCCAATGGCAAGGCACACTCCCGAGTTACCTTAAAGGACGTGTTATACACGCCGGACATAGCCTTTACCCTTGTATCCACCAGCCAAATTATCTATCCATATGGAGCAAGGATGGTGTGAAATCTGGTTGTGGAAGCCAAAGAAGCTCATTGCGAGGATTCCTGAGGTTGATGGTCTTTATTGGATTGCAGGATTAGAGCACGCAGCTGCAGTAGCCTCCGCAAAACCAAAGATGAAGATGTCACTGACCCAACTCCATCAGTGCATGGGACATATGTCTTTTGCTGCTATGAAAGCCATGGTGACAAAGGGCATGGTTGAAGGTATTGGGGTTACCTCATCTCCCAATAACACATTCTGTGAAATGTGTGTCAAAGCTAAAATCACACACCAGCCTTTCCCTAACCAGTCGAACTCACGTGCTACAAAGTATGGTGAACGTATTCACACTGACATGTGGGGACCAGCAAAAGTTCAATCATTGGGCAAGAAATCCTATTATGTCACGTTCATGGATGATTATTCCCGTGAGACAACTGTCGTCTTCCTTTGGAAGAAGAGTGGAGTTTTTGGAGCACTCACTGAGCACTTTGCTGGCCTCGTAACCCAGCACAATGCCAAGATCAAGTTCATCCGATCTGATCAGGGTGGTGAATATTCCAGCGATGAACTTAAGAAGTACCTATTGAAACGCGGAATCCATCACGAATACACTGTCCATGACTCTCCCAAACAGAATGGTGTTGCCGAACGAGTTAATCAGACCATTGTCGAACATGCTCGAGCTCTTCTCATTGGTGCAGATCTTCCCAAGGCTCTATGGGCTGAGGCCATAAATCACGCTACCTATCTCAAGAACAGATCACCCACATGAGCTCTCACCACAAAAACACCATTTGAAGCTGTTCATGGTGAGAAGCCCAACTTATCGGGGATTCGGAGATTCGGATGCACCATCTATGTCAAGATCGTAGATGCTGGCAAGCTTGACAAACGTGCAAAGGCTGGAAATTTTATAGGGTATGACAGCGAAAGCAAAGGGTATCGAGTTTATTGGCCTGACACTCGTCGAGTCTCTGTTGAACGAGATGTGAAATTTGCTCCTGATGAAGCTACGACAGGTGACATGCAGTTCAAAGGGGAGAATGAGAGGATCGTCCAGCACGACACCTCCTCAAAATCCATTAGCGAGGCACCAAAACCATCATCAACATCAACTCTAATTCCCGTCACGACCAGCCAATCAATTCCACCAGCAGTCGCAAACCCACCAGCATCAGTTCCACCTGCAACAGTACCACTTCCTGAACCAGCATCAGCTCATGAACCTTGTGCAACTCACCAAGTCCAGTTTCCACCAGGCTATTACAGCCGAGAAGTCTTTGACCGAACCGAACGCATCAATGCAACATGGATGGAGGAATCACCAAAAAGACGAATTCCCACATGATGAATTTGCTATGCTTGCACACTACGCACTAGCATCTTCGCCTGGTGATGAACCCACCATTAGTCAAGCACTTCGTGGTCCGGATGCCGAAAAGTGGCAATTAGTAATGGATGAAGAAATTAGTGCAATCGAGAAGCTAGATACCTGGGACCTCATTGATCCACCCACCAACGCCAACATAATCAACTCTCATTTCATCCTCAAAGCCAAACAAGACAAAAATGGCGAGATCATGCAATACAAGGCACACCTCGTTGCCAACAGCAACAGTCAACACGAGGGCATTGACTACAATGAAACTTTTGCCGCTGTCGCAAAACTTCCTCCTGTCAGAGCCGTTCTCGCAAATGCCGCGAGCCAAGGTTGGGAAATTCACCAGATTGACGTGAAAAATGCATACCTCAATGCTGAACTGACCGAGGACATCTATATGAGACCTCCGCCAGGGTATCTGAAGCCAGGTCAAGAAGGAAAAGTCTGCAAACTCAAGAAAAGCCTCTATGGGCTGAAGCAGGCCAGTTTTGAATGGTACGAGACATTATGTGAGTTTTTCCGTGAGATTGGATTCGCACAATCGGCCGTCAACCACGCAGTCTTTTTCAAGCATGACAAGAAATCTTCCACCGTCGTTTCCGCATCAACGGATGATATGGCTGCCATGGCAAGTTCAATTGAAGCAATACAGTGGTTGAAAGATGAGCTTAGAAAGAGGTTCGAGATTTCTGATCTTGGAGAGATCAAATGGTTGCTCGGATTTGAAGTCAAGTATGACAAAGCAGTGCGAACCCTATCATTGTCCCAACATGCTTACATCGACACTCTTATCGAACATTTTGGACTCGAACACGCCAACACTGTCTCTACCCCTCTCAAACCTGGCACCACCCTATCAAATGATCAATCGCCAATGACCACACAGCATGCCAACAAGATGCACAACATCCTGTACCAAGAACTTGTTGGTTCTCTCACCTTGGCGGCACTTGGTTCACGTCCCGACATTGCATTTGCAACTTCAACACTTGCTCAATTCACTCAAAATCCCAGTAGACTCCATTGGCAAACTGCGAAGCGTGTTTTATGCTATCTCAAGGGCACACAAGAGCTTCGCCTCAACCTCATGGATCCCAATGAAGGCATGCTTGCCTCCACTGACGCTGATTGGGGCTTGCAGCCTCACCATCATTCAATTTCAGGGCACATTGTATCACTCGTGGGAATGCCGGTGGCATGGGGATTGAGGAAACAGAACATTGTAGCATTGTTGTCAACAGAGGCAGAGTACGTCGCTGCGATGAACTCGCTAAAGGATATCATTTGGCTTCGCAGCCTTCTCAGCGAAATTCGCGCACCTCTCGTTGGTCCTACCCTCGTCTTATGCAACAACCAAGGTGCTATCACGCTCACACAGAATAACAAGTTCCATCCTCGCACGAAGCACATTGACATCCGGCATCATTTTATCCGCGAAGCTGTTGATGACAGAAAAGTCACGCTTGTGTATTGTCCAATGACTGCCATGGTCACGAACATCTTCACGAAAGCACTCGCTCGTTCAAAGGTTCAAAAGTTCGTTGATATGCTCGGACTCCGCTAGACTTGAAGGGGAGTGTTGGATATTTCGACGTAATCTGCAAGTCTCGCTATTAATATTCATTCGTTTATCTTTACGCTCACTTACTGCACACACATACAATAGTACACTTACTGTTTACATCATTGCTAACACGGACAGGTATATAGTCCTCGCATCCGCGTTGTTCCACCTCAGTTGATTCCTATCAGACTGAGGTGAGATCCCTGCGTTCGTTATCATATTTAACACTCACTAACACTTACAATAGCCGTTTGTTTGTCTTTGCAGGTACTTATACTAATACCAGAGTTGATTCCTATCAGACTGAGCCGTTCATTTGTCTTCGCAGTCCTTCCGTCTGTCGCTACTCACAACACTAGTCACGTCATACACACCTCCTAGCTTTCTGCTTCAGACATCAGGCTATGATGGCACCAGTCCCATTCACGAGTGAGTCATGTCTACACAGTGCAAGCAGAATGGGTCGTTCTGGCCGGAAGTAGTGTCCCTTATGTAGATTATGAATGAAGATGGTAGTCATTCTTTCTATATTTGATGTTGGCCAGAACATCGAGGAATACTACCACATCCAAGCTGACCGATGATCGATGATCTCTTCGGATGCTGAGTTCTGTACCAGCCGAGAGTTCTGCATGTTTGGAATAAACCAAGAGAACGACACACCCTTCTCATTTATTTTTCTCACATTTAACTGTCTTGCCACCCAGCTAGGCTCACTCCTGGATTCTTCCAAAGAACCCACACTGCCATAATAGGGTTGCATTTTGAGCAAGGGCTAAGCCAAGCGGATGAGGGAGGAGCAACTTCAAAAGCCTGCACTACTGCTCCGGAAAGTGCCACGACCATACTAGGTCTTGACTCTTAACCGGTTAAGATGTAGAGAAAGTGGAAAATACAGTGAAATCGACTCAAAACCACACTTTCTTCTAATTCATGTACACACTAATTACATAGTACGAACACAACCAAAAGTACATACATGCACCATATCGGCGTATCCTAATCTCAGTCACTAAACCATCAACATATTCGAGATTACAAAGGTCAGTTGCGCAAAAGACAAGTGTGAACAGGGAATGCAAAGCGGTGTTATTCAATCGATTGGGTACGCGCTCGGTGATGCGAGGAAACACAAATGCCCACATCACCATCTACGTAAGTGCCTTGATTTTCAACTACAATGTTGTTGTTAAATGAGCCAACTCTCTTCTACTGGAATCTTGCGAATGAACTTACCAGTGACTTGAAGAATGCATGTACTGACAAGTTGTCACTAGTAGTATGGGCTCAAGGAGTTGAAGTGCCAACTGTTTTCAACACAACAGGCAATAAACAAGTCGCAGGAGTATGTTTGATAATATCACCTCATGTGTTGCAACTTGCACGGTGCTTACTATCTCCTCAGACTCACCTATTACTCCCCCACTTCCTAGTTAAGTAAGAGTTACATCAACATGTTTCCACGCTGTTAATAATGTTGAAACAACACTTTTGTGAGAACTGGCAGGGCACACCGGCAATGAACTATGACTTAGATTACATTGTAAGGCAGGTTTTTTGTTTTTGAGCACCGGCAGGGCACCCCAGCAACTGCTGTATGTACTAATAAGGTAGGAATGTTGACAATGCATGTGCCCATTACCGCCATCCCAAAAAGGCAGTTATGCGGCAGCAACACTGCATCAGCATCGTGTCGGGCAGCAAGTTCGCCATCTCACTCATTTTCGTGCCCCTGGAGGCGCACTTTTATATATATATAGGATTTGTTAATTAGTTTCCAATGATCACATGAAATGGAGGCAAACATCATTGATTAAAGACATTATCAAACACAAAAGGTAAACTATGTGGGGGTGGGATCATTCTCATGCTTGGAATCAACATATGCAGCACTCTTGGGTTTAGAATCCTTCTTAGCTCTTCCTCCTTTGCCCTTCTTCTTCCTTTGGCCTCCTTTAGCTGTCTCTGCTGCAAGTGCCCTAGCTGAGGGTTTTTTTGGGCACTTGGACCTCAGTTCCTCAGGAGCTGCTGGTGCACACCACTTGTGGTTTGTGCCGGCAGTTAGTGCTGACATGTCCTGAGCACCAGAGGGGTCACTGAGAGATGCTGGACAAACAGTCAAGGAGGGAGTGAGATCTGGGGTAGGAAAGATAAACTGTGGTGTAGGGTTGATGCAGTTGGGTGTAGGCACAGGTGGGATGGCTGAAGGAGTCAAAGGGATGGATGGTGCAGTTGCCGCTGTAGAAACTCCCTCACCCCCATTATTTAGAAGACTTGGATCAATTTGTGAGTCGGAGATTTGCGTCAATGATGTGTTGTTAGGCAAGGCTGATGATGTGGCAGTAGACTTGGATGAGGTGGACGTGATAACATTAGCATTAGTAGGCAATGACGTGGCAGCAGCTGTAGTATGTGATGACGTGGCAGTGGTCAAGGCTGATGTGGTTGGGGTTTGCTGGACTGGTGTTTGTGGTGGCGCTTTGGAGGGCTCTACATTGATGTCTCTACTCAAAGAGGTGTCCTTATCCATGTTGGGCATGAGGGTTTCACCTGCAGCAATGCACTTGAGGTGCTCATTAGCCTCCTCCTGAGTGATTGTCACAAACTTGCATATCTTCCCCTCGACAGCATCTGCAAGAGCCTCAAGAGCCTCATCCCTCCTTTCAGATCACTTGGGTTTGCCCAGTCGCTGTGAGTCCATCCCACAACCTTCACAAGGAACTTTTGAACTACATGTTCATAGTGCAGATACTCAAAGTTGGCCTCCAAACAGCCAGTGATTGCAACTAATAAGATATTAGAATGAGACAAGACAGAAATATGTATGATGTATGCAACCCAGCCTGCATACCACCCCTAATAGTCTGCTTGGCTTTCTTGACACGTTCCTTGTGAGTGAGAGACAAGCCTAAAAGTTAATAAGTCAAAAATTTGAAGACTAGAAGCAAGAAAATTCACCACTTTGCTCTATACCTCCAGAGATGACATATCCTTCTAGCTTGCATGCAAACTCCATCACGTGCTTCTGTGTTGCTGTCCTGTGGTATTGTTCAACAGCGGAACTGGTGAAATGAACCTTTGGCTTGATGTTGAGATTGCAGGTACCGTGCACTAGGATGACAAGTGCCTCTGTTCCAATCCATTGCTTCAGAGCTTCGACCTAAATATAATTAAATTAAAGTAACTATTAAAAATAGAAATATGACCAACCTTGTCTACAATTGCCTTGAAACTGTTGAGCACTCTGCATTATGGGTCTTGACGGACAGATTGGGGGGCCTGTGGCGAGCAGCCTCTTTCTCCTCATCAAAGGCAATAACAAGTTGCTTGCATTCCTCAGCAGAAAGGTCATGATAGTCGCTGGCCCTTTTGACAAGCTTGCGCACATTATCTCTTGTGACTAAGGACTTGTCTAGTATACAAGTACACATTAAAATTATGAAAATACGAGGGGAAATTGTACTGGCCTTGATTAGTCTCCATGCCTTTGAAGTGCATGAAAGCAGACCATGCATTCATCTTCTTTCGCTTCTGATGGCGTAAGGCTGATCCAATGTAAAAATGTTCTAAGTAGCGACAGGGGGACTTGTGAAACCGGGTAGCAAGCTCCATAGCCTTGTTCTGAATATACTCAAGAACTTCCTCAACAGCGGTGTCTTCCTGGTCACGTTTGTCGTGTCTTCATTCATTGATAGAGGTATGTTGTTCACATGTAAGTTTAGGTGCTTTGTGCCGAGCACTATTATGAATTAAGTGTTGTTGCGCCTGAGCAGAGCAATGGGGTATGATGATGGGCATTTTGTAGAAGTACTTGCGGAGGGCCTGAATAACCAGGAAACAAATAACTTGAACTATATATGGTGACGAAATTTAACAGAAAAAGTTAGTTAGGACAATCATTGCACATAGCACGGGCAATACAACAAGCTTCTAGTGAAGTGATCCGAACCAGATCATCAACCTTAGCTAATTCCACAGGCCATGCATCATCAAAATGAGCCTCACTGATAAGAAAACATACTTCATGAAATGTATCTGAAATCTGTAATCGCCGAAGCAAATCTTTAGTATGCTGACCAAACACATGTAATCTCCTTGGTGTTGACTGATGGACAGGCGAGAATGTAAAACTACCATCAGTGCTAGACCCTCCTGCTCTAGTGTAATATGGAGAGCGCAATGAGGATGTGGTGTTCCGAGAGCTATGAATAGAGATGGAGGATGCAGATGGTGGGTGTACTTGGAGTTGACAACTGAGATGACCTCACCGGTAATAGTGATGCACCAGAAGAGGATGTCCGACCTTTGGTTGCAAGAGATGTAGTCATAGTGGCAGGGACCAAAATTTTTGCTCGGACCGAAGGATGAATGTAATGATTTTCAGTAGGGAGATGTGGATCACCAGCACGGATGGAGGGGGGCAAAGATTCAGCATATACTTGCAGGGCGTCGGCATATGATACTCCCAGTGTTTCTTCATCTGCTCGTTCATCACCTAGCCTCACATCTTGCAGTCCACAGATCTAAATTTTGTTACCCTGTCAGTCAAGTGTCAGAGTTTAAACAGAAATATTCAACTTACAACATCACTCATAATTGGTTCTCTCTGCACATTGTGGGACAGTCAATTAGATAGCGGGACCTGTTGAAGATGCCATGTGACTGTCTTTGGTACTGTAACTCCTGATGTGTGGGGAAAATGAGAGTGCAAAGGATGTTTGAAAGGACCTGGCGCTCGGCCAATGAACTCAAAGTAAGAGCCTGATGGTATATCACATGGCTGAGGGATGAGAGGATGTGAATCCCTGTGTGGAGCAGAAGCGAGTGGTTGCTGCTCTAATGTATCCTGCCTCCATTGATGTGCGATGCGCCGCTCCTTGAATTTCTGTGCAATTACAATAGCCCACTGTTCAATGAAATTTTGGACAAGCTCTGCTGCAACAACATGCAGTTCCAGGTAGTCGTCAAGGACTTTGGGATTGAGATACACATTTGCTGACATATTCTCCACGTTGAGGTCAGCATTTGGTGTGGTTGCACCAGGATGGTGTAGGATGATGGTAGAACCACCTGACAGTTGATCAAGAAGTGTGCACTGTTGGACTCATGGTGAGAAATCATCAGAATGAAAGAAAAAACATACAAGATCATAGATGGTGCGACGGATTCAAATGAGATGGAATTTCCTATCTTCATGTACTCTTTTCTTGTCCTCAGTATTCATCCCCTCAAAACACCAGTTTAATAGTGTTCCAATGGGTGAAAGCCCATGTCACTGTCGAGATGATTGCCATCGCGATGCATATTGTGAGCAGACATTGCAAGCAGAGCAGAAATCCAGCAATCAGACGCATCCCCCAGGGAAGTAAGTTCTGGAGGCTTTGAAATTTGATCTAGCAGACTACGGATCCCATCAAAAGTTGGTGAAACATCAAAGCCATTGTTAGCCCAAGAAGAAGTCATTATGAGGTAGCAGTTTGTGAGGGAGCGGTTTGAATGATTCTTGTTGAGATTGTTGCTTACAGATAAGTCAATGAGGCTTGCACGCGGCAGATTATGTACACTTCAGATAATACTGTTGAATCAACTTGCACATAGGTCCAATGGCACTCGTTGAGTGAGTTTAGGCAACCAGGGTCCTCCAGCTTAAAGCTTGGAGGACCCGCAATCAATTTTATCACTAGGAAGAAGACCAACAGCTCATCATACATGAAAGAGGCTTCGAAATGTATATTGTGCTATCCATCTCTCACTGACACATAGATATGCATGCGCTCAATACCAGATCTATTTAAGTTCACATTTTCATCCTAGGCATGAATCTCAATGTGCTGATGAAGAATACAGGAAACCACAATCTCATTCTGCCAGTACTACATAAGACATGCTCAAGTGCGAATGTATTATTATGATTGTGCTTCATCTGAGATCTCATCAGGGCATCCAAAGATAGCCTCCAGTGCGCTCTGCATATCAGCCATCTCCTCAGGCTCATCATCCCCATCATCCTGTATCTCCTGATGCTCTGAACTATGGGCAACACTAATGAAAGGCTGGACTGAGCGGCCAACTCGAGAACCTGGAATGAAATTCCCTGTATAACCAGCAAGTTGCTGGATTTGTCGAATATGGCTATGGTGCCCTGTGTTGACATTGCAGAGATAGGTCCAGTGGTGATGTAGTTCTGCAGCGAGCGGGGGGTCAGTGGACTGCAACTTTGAAATTGATGCTGCATAATCTTCTTTGTCATCTCTCATCTTCGTTAGCAACCAGACAATTTCAACATTACATCTTGTGAGCTCTTCCTTTGAGCGCTGAACATCAAAATATTGGATGGCGGCTTGACAATTGGCAGGACTTGCCCAACGCTTTGCATGAATCTGCTTGTCAGTTTCATGTAGGAGATTGAATTTGCCAGTGAAAGAATATTCAGCAATCTTCTCCCAAGTAAGCTCAGGGCGCAGGGGATCTAGTTGTGCAGCAAATTTGTTGTACCGCTCAATGGCATTACGGATTGTGTTTGCACAAGTCTTCAAAGCCTTTGATATCTGAGTCCACAGTTTATACCCTGCTCTGAAAATTAAGTATCCAGCTGTCAAATGAGCAAAATATGTACCAAGCCTGCTCATTTGCAGTTTGGTCAATTCTAACAGCCGCATAACTACAAGCCGCTCAACATCATCAGCAGCCTGATGAAAACGGCGGTGGGTGATTCATGACTGTGCTGCAACACATCTGGGGTCAATGGGAGACCAATGCTCCGTCAACCCCATTTGGTTTTCAAAAGCCTCTACTGTATCCATTTGCATTGACAGCTTCTTGCTAGTATTGGTCCGCCAACGAGTTATATCAGCAATTTCTTTCCGACTGTACCCGTCATTGATGATCCAGAAATCGAGTTTCTGGAAGTCTCTGCAGGCTGCCTGATAAGCTTTCCTATGAAAATTGTTAGCAAGTCTGCAAGATATAAACACAATACATACTCAACATCCTCCAATTCCAGTAGTGCCTTTACATAGTCAATCTCAACTGAATCCTCTTTGCGCTTACTTGTGGCTGTTCGAAGGTAGCGATGCTCATCTGATAAATCGGCTTCAAAATCCTCAGGTGACATGGGAAACTGATGGAGGAAGTCTTCATTTGTCCGGATGGAGTCAAGCGCTTGCATGTAATTGTGGTATATGAATGTACCTAGTAGTAGTTGTGAATTAATAAAATCTAATTGAACAATATAAAATAATGTACTGAGAAAAGCATATTTGTCAAGCTTTGAGAAGCGAAAATGTTCGTCGAGGACCTGATGGCAGTGGAATTTGCTTGCATTACAAATTTCTGGAGCAACGGCATTGGATTCTGAAAATGTGCACTCACAAGTCTCGAAGTCCTCCTTGCCAGCTCTGACCTTATACTCACAATGGTGTTGGACCTGGCATAGACAGCTGTGTGCATGCCTGTGGAACCCATTGACTATACCATCAACACCAAGTTGATGGACAGTGGAGGAGAGAGAGCTTCGAGAGATTATTTTGTCGAACATGCACTTGATATTGTACCCATAAATGAAAGGTCGTTGGTAGACCTCCATAAGCCGGTGAATCGTTGCAAGCGGGTATTTCATTCTGGTCCAACATAATCAGATCATGTAACCAAAAAACAGATGTACTTACAGTTCCCCACTTCTCACCATATCACATATGGTAAGAAGGATTCTGTGGCGACATACAGAGATGAATATACCAGATTTTCAGAACACTGCAAACATTTGCTTCTGTGCTTCGGGAGCAGAATTACACCATTGATCTAGACATACAGACTGGCTCCAATGAGCTAGAATCCTCTGAGTCAGGTTCATCAACCCATGTGTCGTTGGTCTCGGTAGCCTGCTCTGAATCTGGCACCTCAATAGGTGATGACACCTGCTGTCGTGCATTGCAAACCTCGTGCTTGAACCTATCAACATATTCCTCCGACATCCAAAAATAACAGTGTTGGTCTCGGGGATCAGGGCGCTCATTTCCACGGCGGAGAACTGGGTCCACAAGTTTAGCGGAATTATTTCCGTCCATTGAGAGCTGGAAAGAAAAGGGCATGGCAGGCTCGTCCTCAACTTCATAGTGGCAAGCGGGGCATGCATTGAGCATATGCCAGTTAGGTGAATCTTGTCCTAGTGCAGAGTCAACACGAGCATCAACATGACACTGGACTTCAATATAGACATCAAAGGCAACCCACAACTGATCTGCAAGATACCGGTGATAACAAACCTATCAGTTATGTATATGTGTTAGTCAGAAACTACCAAATGAAATATGCTTACCCCATGAAGATGACACAACTTTTTCACTTCAGCATGAATGCTAAGGCGTGGACACACACAGTGTGTCTGGCAATATACTGCCAATGTGTGTAGTGTAATGGCCACTGTTGGCATGATGGGAGATGCCCCAATGCATCCTTGGCGCATAAGCGATACATTGAGATATGCAGATGTATGTTGGAAGACACAAATGGACCGATCTAGTAAGGCAAATTAGTACGAATTATAGTCTACAACAGAAAGACGTACCAAAAATGTCAATGACTTCAATGGTAAACTGCTCAGCCTCATCATCACTTACATCCAAGGCCGGCTCCTCCATGTATTGTAGGTATGTGTCAGTCAAATCCTGGTATTGAGATGCCCAAGCTTGAGCCATTTCAACAATTCGATTGGTTCGATCATGGTGGTCATAACGCTTTCTAAATAGAGGTTCAGCACATGCTGTCATCAAATAGAGGAAGACGTAGAGTTCTGACCTTGTCGTAGTCAACATGCTACTGAGCTCGCTGTATAACTCATATTCCCCACCAGCGTGACTAAGTTCAATGCCTTCGGCACCAGCAGGCGGGATAGCAGAAGTAATGTCCATGAGATAAGCATCATCCTGTGGACTGAAATCAGTTGAAAAATCAATGGGATCATCAGCAGGATGAGTGGCCTGCTCAGCCAGAAAAAACTGCTCACGTTGATGGAGATCAAGTGCTATACAAGTTGAAAAGGGTGTTAATCATCTCAGCTCACAACAGAAGGACACGAAACATACACCTGAGGTGACGATTCCACTGGTGGAATGCCTCTTGTTCCTTCTGTTTTAAATGCACCGCACGAACAACTTCTGAATGTTTCCGACAACCCACAGTAATGTGAGCAGCTCGGGAGGTGCCACGAACAGAGTATTTTGCCTTCATGAATGTTGTCGTTGTTGTTGAGGGCAAAGGGCAAACTGAGTGGAAAATGATGGTGATTGGTGGAGAGGCCTCGGTGTGCAGGCAACTCGCATTCTGAACCCTAACCTAGGGTTACACAATAGGCAGTTGTGGATAGAGGTTGAAGTGTACCATGGAAGTTGCCGGTAAGTTGATTTTGGAGTTATGGACATGATCACGCGCAGTATGGAACTTGCCAGTAAGTTAGGAAAAAGTGCACCAAAATGAGTGAGATGGCGAGCTCGCTGCCCGACACGATGCCGATGCAGTGTTGCTGCCACATAACTGCCTTTTTGGGATGGCGGTAATGGGCATGTGCATTGTCAACATTCCTACCTTATTAGTACATACAGCAGTTGCTGGGGTGCCCTGCCGGTGCTTGCAAATATATATATTGCCTTACAAGTGTTGTGCTGGTTGCTGGGGTGCCCCGCTGGTGCTCGCAAATAAATCTATTGCCTTACAAGTGTTGTGCTGGTTGCTGGGGTGCCCCACCAGTGCTCAAAAACAAAAAACCTGCCTTACAATGTAATCTAAGTCATAGTTCGTTGCTGGTGTGCCCCGCCAGTTCTCACAAAAGTGTTGTTTCAACATTATTAACAGCGAGGAAACATGTTGATGTAACTCTTACTTAACTAGGAAGTGGGGGAGTAATAGGTGCTCAGACTGCTGTAGACATGCCTCCATCCAAGTGCATCAAAACAGATGAAGTGCACAAGGAAGAACGGCCAGACACCATGATAGAAACCTCGAAACCAGTATGGAAGAACAGTCAGCTTCCCCCTGGCTGTCTCAATTCCAATACCTGGCATGGTGTGTTTATTCTGACTATCGCATACGCTGCTGGTGGAGAGAACATTGATCCGTGGTACATCGACAATAATATGCTGGTCCGGATCCTCATGAAAGCCTGGAAGGTTGTGTACGGGAAGCTTTCATCGACGGACAACCCTATTTACATTGGTAGTCCGGTCTATGATGTGGTAGGTCTTGCAAATGCAACTAGTCAATTCATAATAACTCTTTCATACAGTCCAAGCAGCGGTTGGACGAATGGCGCAGTGGATTTGGATCTGCTGCTATCATGATGATGATCATGAGCCTCATAGCATCTAAGTCAATTACTGCCGCTTATGAGCGACAATCTGAGTTTGCAAGGTACTGGCTTTATGGGATCCGTTTTCTTTTTGAAAATGCTTCTTCCAATGACAAGAAGGTTTGTGCGGCTACTGCGCTAGATTCATGCTAACATTCCAGTTTAGGAGTGGACAGGAATGTGGCAATCAATGTTCATACTAGAAACATTTTCCGTGCACCTGGTCTACACTCAAGGGTGTGTGCCTGTCGACGAACTCAGAAGCAAGGAACAGCTCTGTTGAACAGCACTGGCACTCTCTGCAGCAGCGGTAAGCTAACACCATTATATTACTTTATTAAAATAATTGTAGTTAGGTTAAATGCACTCTCAACCTGTTATGCTCGGCGTCGTCTAGACGTCTTAGTAAACAAAGGAGTCAAAATTTCTAGTAGCACCCTAGTGCTAAGTCGTGCGAGTAAAGCAGATAGATTGTAGACCCTAGTCTATGTTACTCAGGTATTACCCAAGGAAGGTCTGCGTAGGTCAAGTTAAAGAGTACAAAGGTAAGACAACGGTTTAAATAGAGATATTAAAGCGGAGTCTGAATATAAGAAAATTGTACGATGATACGACAGTGAATGAGAAAAGAGATGGAAGAATCATACGATAGAATATGGTAGAATGTCGTGGAAGGTATAGTAAGCAGACAAGATAGGGGAAAAGGAGAACCATAACATTACCCCCATTTTAAGGGTAGTAGACCACAAATACCACAAAAGAAAAAGGAAAAATCAAAGACAATGTGCGTTTTTATAAGAAAGGAGAATATTAGAAGTGTTACCCATTTGTCTCTCTGTCATCCATTCATTCTCGGAACTTGGGAATCCCTTCCATTTTACGTTATAGTATCTGTGTGAGGTAGAACCTCAATGACCGATAATGGCCTCGATCTCCTGTTCTTCTTCACTGTCTATGAGATCAGGGGGTGGTGCAACGAAGTTAGGACCGTGAGTGTCGTTTTCTTTATAGGGAGAGAGGAGGGCGGCGTGGAAGATGGGGTGAATGTGCCATTGTTCTGGGAGTGACAGGCGGTAAGTGACTGGGGATAGGACGTCGGAAATGGTGAATGGTCCTTCTCGTTTGGGTGCAAGTTTACGATTAGGATATCTAAGATGAAGGTTTTTTGACTTGAGCCAAACCTTATCGCCTTTATTGAATGGGACAAATTTGGAGGTGATACGTTGTCTCATGGTATTGCGCACTAGTTCATGAGCGGCTAAGGCTTCGTCGCATGCTTTGTTAAGGATGATAAGTTGTTGTTCAACATTGGAGATATCACTTTTTGGATGGAGATCGGGGAGGTGTTTGGGGTGGTATCCTATTATGAGGTAGAACGGTGATGTGCCACGAGTGGAATGATGACAGGAGTTGTGAACGAATTCAGCAAGAGGGAGCATGGATGCCCAGCCAGTCACGTCATTAGTGCAGAAGATCTGGAGGTAGACTTCAAGTTCTTGGTTGACTCATTCAGTCTCTCCGTCACTTTGAGGGTGGAACGCAGTGGAAAGGGAGTTCTTGTATCCAAGGAGTTTTCCGAGTTCGATCTGGAATCTAGAGGCAAATTGGGGTCTGCAGTCAGAGATAATTTTATCATAAAGTCTGTATCTAGAGAATACTTTGGAAAAGAAAATGTTTGCTATGCTTTCAGCATCTATCGTTTTGTTACATGGAGTGAGAATTACCCCCTTTGAAAGGCTATGGTCTACCACAACCATGATGCTATCATAGCCGTTGGAAGGTGGGAGGTTGCAGATGAGGTTGGTCGAGCAGTGAGCGAAGGGTCAATTAGATATAGGAGCGGGGATAGGACAGAGAGGTGGGGAAGACGGGTGCATGTTGACTTTGTTCTGTTGGCAGATACTGCAACCGTCGACAAAGTTCTTCACAAATGTAGAGAGGCCTGGCCACCAGTAATCTTGAGAGAGAAGTTCTTGGGTTTTATAGCGTCCTGGATGGCCAGTGGTGGGGGAATCATGATGAAGGGAAGTGATACTGCAACGAAGGTCGCCCAGGGGTACATAAGTGAGTCCTTTGTAAGTAAGAATACCGTCAGATAGTTTCCAGTCAGATAAAGTGGAATGAAGAGGAGGAGGAATGGAGGGATTCTGGAGCGCGTCGAGCGCTATTTGTACTACAGGGTCAACGGAAGATGAGATATGTAATTGTTCAGAAAGAGAAACAGAATTGATGAACATAAAATCGGGGAGAAGTTGAATACTAGAATTGTCCTTTTCGACACTATCATCCGGAAGGTGATCTGATCTATGGGAAAGAGCATATGGGACAGTCAAGTCTTTGCCTGGTACAAATTTGAAATGAATATTGAACTGAGATAGGAAGGTTTGCCAGCATGCTTGGCGTCTATTGAGATCTTGCACGTCACGGAAATAAGTGAGGTTCTTGTGGTCGGTTTGGACTTCGACCAGGAAAGGGGATCCTAAAAGATAATGGTGCCAAGCTTTGAGCGCTCGGATGACGGCAAGAAGTTCTCGGTCATAGATCTGATAGTTTCATTCTGCGGGGGCGAATGATTGGGAGAGGTATGAGCAGGGGAGCCATTCGCCATTGGGGTTTTTTTGAAGGAGGACTGTGCCAGTAGCGTATAGGGAGGCATCAGTGGCGATGGCAAAGGGGGAAAGGCGGTCAGGAATCTGAAGGATGGGTGCTGAAGTAAAGATTGATTTCAATCTTCGAAACATGGAGTCGCGTTCTTTGTTCCATTCGAATGGCATATCTTTCTTCGTGAGATCTATTAGGGGATGGGCGATCATGGAATAGTCTGCAATAAAGCGGCAGTAAAAGTCAGTGAACCCGAGGAAAGAGCGGACTTCTTTGACTTTCTTCGGGGTTTCCCACTTGGAGATTCCGTTCAGTTTAGCCGGGTCCATAGCTACCGATCCTGGTTTAATAATCATGCCAAGATATTCGATTTCTTCTACATTGAATGTGCACTTCTCCGGTTTGAGGTATAGGCGGTGTTCGCAGAGTTGTTCTAGGACACGATGACTTCGTTTCTGATGGGTATTGTAATTGTCAGAGAAAATCAGTATATCGTCCATGTAGATAATAAGCCATCCTTCTTGGATCATATCTCCGAACGTATCATTCATCATAGATTGGAAGGTGGCGGGTGAATTACACATGCCGAAGAACATTACTGTGGGTTCAAAGAGCCCTCTTGCCGTTGCAAAGGCGGCTTTCCATTGATCGGATTTTTTGAGTCGGACATTGTTATATCCCCATCGGATGTCCATCTTGGTAAAGATCTTCGCGTTCTTTAGCTTATCTATAAGATCAGAGATTAGCGGAAGCGGGTAATTGTTCTTAACTGTGTGTTCATTGAGATATCAATAGTCCTGACAGGGATGGAGGGAGCCATCTTTCTTGCCGACGAAGAAGAATAGGGATGATTGTGGTGATTCGGAGGGGATGATAGTACCTTTGGTGAGGTTTTCATCAGTGAAATTGTTCATAGCCTTCTCTTCCACGGGGTTAAGCAGGTAAATTTTTGCATTTACGTGGTTCGAAGGTGTCTTTGAGATCGATCTTATGATCAAACTTACGTTCTGGTGGGAGAGTTCCGTTAGCTACTTCTCCGAATACATCCTTATACTTCTGGAAGATCTTGGGTACGAGTTCTTCAAAGGTCTTCTTTGGTTTGGCAGCTTCTTGGGCTAGGGTTTGGGAGATGTTGTCGGCTTTCCTGACTAAGGTTCCATGGATCGAGAAGTATCTGTGGTCAGCGGGGATATGTTCATTAGTGAGAGGGGAATCAAAACTTTCCGTTTCATAAGTCCCTATGACATGATTGCCTTTGCAGTATGCGATCAAGAATTTGTCAGGGTCTAGTTCTTCTTCTGTTTCGTCAGCGGGTTCAGGGTCAAGGAGGTTAGAAATGTTGGAGGAATACAGAATACTTTCCGCAGCAGGATCCCATTCATCTTCTAGGGATTCCTGTGCATCAAAGAAGGGATCTTCTTCTTCGACATCTTCAATATAGGCGCTTCGTTCTCTAAGGGTCACTTCTTCTTTCGTCCAGTCGATCTGAGGGTTTTCTTTCTTTAGCCAGGATATTCCCAGGATTATGTCCTCACCTCCTAGAGAGGTGATAAGGAAGCGTGTTTTCATGGGAATTCCTTTGATATAAAAGGATAGATTGCAAGCGTGTGTGATCTGACCTTGCTTATTAAGTGTTCCATCTATGTTTCGGACTTTGATTTTTCTTGGGAGTCGTTCGGTAGGGATGGAATTTTGATGGACAAACATCCAGTCGATAAATTCCCCCTCTGCTCCACAGTCAATTAGAGCTGCAGCTTCAGTGATATTGGGACTAGAGTCAAAAGTTAATGGCAAATGCATAGAATTTGAGTCACCAATCAATTGTACTACTAGTCCGATTCTAGGAGAGGCTGACGCTGGTTCAGTCTCCTCTACGCAAAATCCTTATCCTCAATCTTCTTAGTCTGGCGTGCTTTGAACGCCTTCCACTCCAAAAACTCCTTATACTCATCTTCATTGTCTTTGCTTGCCTTCTTGGCAGCGGTCTGTGGGGGCCTTGGCATAAAGGCGGGATGGTTCAGGCAGTCTTTGATAAGACCTTTCTTGCTGCATTTGAAGCAAAGGCCGTTCTTGCACCTGTGTTCCCGCTCCTGAGGGGATAAGTACGTCTTCTTCACCTGCCTTTCTTCATCTTCTCCTGCTTCTATTTCAGTACAATCAATATCCATCGTGTTAGAGTCGTGAGAGCGATGGCTGGAGGGGTTCGTGATGAAGCGGCAAGATTCTACCTCAAGGGTGATTGTCAGCCAGCTTTCTAGCGTGTCTGGGAGAGTCTGGAATGCCATGATGGCATTGATGATTTCTCTCTTGAGACCGTTCTTGAAGAACATGATTTTGATCGATTCTTGGTCTATGTCTGTGTCAGCGATGATGGTGCAGAAGATGGAGGCATAGGCAGCAACACTGCCTGTCTGTTTGAGGGTGGATAGTCTGTGAAGGGCGGATTCGTGAACGTTCTTGGGGAAGAAGGTGCCTTTGAATTCGGTGATGAAGGTACTGTACAGTCCATAGTCATTGGGTTCTTTGGCAGCTGCTTTCTTAAAAATACCTTCTGCCCATTTAGCGGCTTCGCCTTTTGTCATCAAGGAGAGTACAAATACAATCTTCTGCTTGTTCAAGACATATACTCCGTCGTTAATATCCAAGTAGGCTTCGACTTGAAGGAGCCATCCTTGTGCAGTGCGAGTATCACTGGAGAAAGGGGAAGGGGTGTTTCCAATAACATTAGGCATGTCATTGTTGTCTTCATTGTCTGATTCATCTGGTTCTGAGTTAAGGTCGATGTCATTCTGTTCTGGGGTAGGAGGAAGAGGAGGTGGGGTAGGTCTAGGTGTGTTTAAACTGGATTGAGGGAAGTCATTGTGGACATAAGCTTCGGTGGTAAAGTCCCAGCGGTGGTCAACTGGGCAGCATCTGGGGTCTTCTCAGAAAGTCCTCCACTGAATGATAGTATAGACTGTTCCGTCTGTGTCTGGTCTGACGTAGGTCTGACATTCTTCTTCCTAGGTGAACCTGGGGTAGTTCTTGTTGGGGTCCATAGTGTCTGATGGGTCGCCTACTCCGGGAGCGGCGGCTCTGAAAAGTAACTTGACCTTTTGTTACGCTCGGCATCGTCTAGATGTCTTAGTAAACAAAGGAGTCGAAAGTTCTAGTAGCACCCTAGTGCTAAGTCGTGCGAGTAAAGCAGATAGATTGTAGACCCTAGTCTATGTTACTCAGGTATTACCCAAGGAAGGTCTGCATAGGTCAAGTTAAAGAGTACAAAGGTAAGACGACAGTTTAAATAGAGAGATTAAAGTGGAGTCTGAATATAAGAAAGTCGTATGATGATACGACAGCAAATGAGAAAAGAGATGGAAGAATCATACAATAGAATATGGTAGAATGTTGTGGAAGGTTTAGTAAGCAGACGAGATAGGGGAAAAGGAGAACCATAACACAACCTCCTTTCAACTGGAAAGATGAGCTTCGAGATCAGGACTTGGACCGCCGTCACAAAAGGCAAGAAAAACACCGCACGAAAGAGCAATGTTCCAGCTTCTAACAGCAATTTATGGGAGGCCAGCATCAGCAATGATGAGACCTTCTCCAAACAGCTCTGGGGGTATGATAGTCGGATGTTTTTGAAAGCAATCATGTGCATACCCACAGAAAATATGCTGGAAATCATAGAGAATGCAAAGCCATTCATGAAAGCCGCCGCTCATGGTGGAGGGTCGGAGATGGACAGCATGCCAGAGGATAAGGATTTCACTGATCTCTTTGATTTCTGATGAAGGTGAGTGGTCCCCGTTTGAGTGTCCCGCTCATGAGAAGTAATGACCACCCAAATTTGGACCCACTAGATCAAGTTGACCATTCACGATGCGCTACTTTCGGTCTCCTTTCCAACATCGCCCTGCTGCCTACCATAGTATCAGTTACCTTGCAACTTTTTACGATGTTTACTGTTATCGCCTTAATTCTTGCTTTCTTTGTTATGCATCTTGCATCTTCCTAGATCTTACTCAACTTATTTTTACCGCCCTATTAAATCCATGCTAATCCCTACTTTCCTTGATACCAGAATCAATCATTTATGTTCCGAAACAGAGCACGACACGTGTCAAAGTACATCAAGACTATGGTAAGTTACGTATGTACCTTAGATTTCAAATATACTTTGGAACACTAAACAGCTTATACTACAAGTACCACGACGAAATGCCGAACAAAATCATTTTCTCCTGCACCTTATTAGAGTATCCGACGAGCGTTAATCGCGCCGGGCATGTGTTGTGTTACACACTGCGGCTAGTTGACACTTGCACGCCCTCCTGGAAAGCAATTGAAGTCATAGCGGTTGCTGCATCGGAGTCGGCCACAAGCGTGGCGTTATATTCTCGAACACCAAGGATCAGGCGTGGTCCCAGCACAAACATCTGCACGACCACGAAAATTTGAGCAAAACCAAGATAAAGCTGAGTTCCCAGGGAGTATAGGTCCTAAAGAAATAATGAATCGTGGTCACATGCAGAGATCACTGACAGATCGACGTACCACTGAGAATGTTGAAAGCGCATAGCCCGTCTCGAAGCAAGAAACGGCAAGAAAGCTGGACATGCGAATCTTCAGCGGATAAAGATAACTACATTCACACTATGAGCTCACCTCGCAAAGTAAACAACGTGAGTTTTCATTAACACCGTGAAGCAGTCCCCGATAATCCCTCCTACTGATTGTCGTCGCAGTTCACGGAAGTGTGTTACAGCAATCCGGACTGCAAGACACAGTGCGAGGACCTCCCATACAGTGTTGAGTATCCAAGTCATAGAATACAGAACTACAGTATTTCCATGAAAATGAATATTGCACTCGGGTTATGATATCATAAATGGTAAGTGTAGAATCTGATGCAAACCGCACCACACTGAAAATGCGTCAATCGATGCGCCCATGAAGGTGGTGCATCAGTTGTCACCGGCAGCATCATGATTGTAACTGACATCTGGTGAACATGAGGCTATACTGTCATAAGTATTGATACAAAGCCAGGGATGGTAGAACAGTAGTTATGCATGCTGACCTAGGATTGCCAGCCCCCATACATCATCTTATCCACGGTAATCGACGCATTTCGCAAACGAAACATTCAGGCTACAAAACTCGTCGTTATTCTTGCTTTCTGTTTCGCTTTTTGCAAAGGTAAGCTAGAAGCACTTCAGAAGCTTGTTTGCGGCACTCTAAACTCACAAGGACATGAACCTGTCACCCAACAGACTCCTCCCATCGACCATTCAAAGCCTCGATTCTTCACGCTTACTCAATTCAACAAATGGCTCAAATGTGCGGATGCTAACATGAAAGAGCGCGGACAGCTACCTTCAGCAAAGTATCGAGCGGGGCTGTGCACTATCAGGACGAGCCGTATCGCGAGCGCGGAAGGGTGCGTGTAGGCGCAGGGCGGGTATTGGGAGCAGGGCGAGTAGGTACTAGCTTGTTTTCGTATCAATCAGTTTTGTACTCGCAGTCGAAATGTATCGTTTTCCGTCGTTTTTCGTATATTTTGCCCCGCCGCTATGGAAAACAAAACATCGAGGTCCTAATATTTGCGTAGATTTTCGAATGTCCAATTCTCACTGGGGTTCAGCGCTGAAAAAAGGTGATGTACACAGTGGATTCCATCATCCAGGCGTATAGCATGACCTTCTCTTAATTCAGACCGACATTATTGTAAAAAGAATCAGAACCCACCTAAGCACCTCATCCACACAAGTCTAGGTCATGCAGCCTGCGCCAACTTCCTTTCTCTCCGCTCAGTAATCTCCGCACGCTTCTGCGCCAGCATCACCGCCGCACGTTCGTCCCACTGATATGCCCAATAACCAGCAAAACCAAAAGCGCCCATAGATAATGCGTGTCCGCCAAGGTCTGTTTACAGCGTCAGTTTCAGGACATAATACTACTGAAGAAAAGAAGGTACGCACTCTCCATGAGATTTCTCTTCTTTATTGCGAGCTGCCCGAAACGCGCTGCCAGACCGAATAATGAAAAGCCAGCAATAGTGCCGAGGAGTGCCATCGTGTCTCTATTTGTTTTATTGTGATTTCCACTTAGTTCGCAGAGAACGGGGTAGGGTTGAGTGCGGGGGATGTCGCGAACGTCGAGCTTGAACCTAATCCAAATACTGACAAACAAGCCCCTGACGACTTTGTGATGAGCTCGCAATAAATTTTGACTGTCGTCTACTAGTATTTCGTCTATCTTGCCTATCCCATTATGAATCTTATTGGCTTTTATGTCATCGCATCCCCCCGTGCTGCCCATTCACGTCGGGTTCCACCTCTAGGTAGATATGGCGAGTATCATGATGTTATCATAGTTTTCATTGGATGTTTCTGTGGGATGGTTTTTGGAGGGATACATTGTCTCGGCTGGAATTTTGTTTCACAGACAGACGGAACAGCTGTTATAGCGTGCAGCATCCCTTATGATCATATGCGCGCCAGCACCTACGCTTATTTTGTCTGGCATTGTCTTGTCTGACATTGACTCATCTTCCCTTCTGGGTGAGAATATCGCATTTTTCTTGCTTCTTGTTACACTAATTGTACTTATGATCCTAAGCCTGCAATCGCTGCCGTCTGGCGTATACGATACGGTAGCTTGGACCAAGTTTATTCCACATTTGTAGTTTCTTTACATCCTAGTCACGCACTATGATAACTTGCCTTGCTCTTCTGGAATCACTATGTTGCAATCGGGGTGGGTATGACTCAAGTACGTTTGAACCTAGTGCATAACAGCCCGCAATTTGAACACGAGCGACGCTTGAAGACCAAAGCGAAGCCATGCTGCATGATTATGAAGTAACAACGAACACGATTTTACGGAATGGAATGTGAGGACGACGCCATCTGGATACGCTGCGTGAAATCGAGTGATACACGCAAAAAATATATGTGAACATACCGGACAACTTGAAGGGGATCTGCGCATGCATCCGCATAACTGCCTTGGAATTCACTGTCGATTCCGGTACCTTACTTCTCTTGCTCTGCGACGATGTTATGCGGATGGGCGAGTGGTAATTCCGCAATGCATCAGCACGCACGAATCGCGAACCTCATCGACTTTGTCGAGCTTCACGTATCAGCCTCGCCAGCTCTTGAAAATCTAACGACAAGATTCACCTCACCGTTGTCCTTCTTGCTACGCATACCCTCCCTCACCTCGCGCGGGGGTACATATATCGTCTGGAACCCGACGCTGGCAGCAACAAGGAGGTCGAAATTGTCCGCAGCAACCGTTGCGATCTTGTGAGAAGGTAAAGAAAGGTGGTATGCTGCGGATTCATAGACCTCCTTGTTCTTGCTCAGACATTAGGATGAGATGAAAGGAAGAATGATGGAGACGTACGGCTTGCACGAAATGAACATTTCGGACGAGAAAATACCATCCCAGGGAACACCTTGGTTCTTTGCCTGTAGTGTTAATTGGGGAAGGTCTGATGCAGCGTAGTGCGGTGGCTCAATTACTAGATCGAGAAGTAAATTAAGGTTTCCGTTAGATAAAACAAGGATGTAGACGTGGCATTTGAGTTTTTCCAGGTCAGGGATAGTGTCCTGATACGCTTTTAAGGGGTTGTCGGTTAGGTTTGTAGGCAGAGTTCCTGAGAGTTTGCACCGTCAGGTTATGCCAGATCATGGTAAGATCTTCACGATCGGATTCCCCAAAACTCCTACAAACCGAGACCAGCGTGGGGTGGTGAGCATATTGTCCAATATCTGCGATGTCGTTAGATGGGGGTCACGTGTATGCACGTTTGAGTCTGCTCAAGCACAAATTATCTGTCAATGCATGACGTCTGCATTGAAAGTGCTCTCCCCGCCCTGGGCTACTCTTTGCCTGTGTGAATGAGCGTCTCATAATCCATAGGCTGAGAACTGAGAACGATGGACTTGCACATGAGTATAATATCCGGCTCTCCATTCTTCTGAGAAATCTACCGCATTCTGTGAGCCTAATGGATGCGATCAGGGTGAGAGAATTGTACGAGGATGGAGATCTGTTACCTTCGAGAATCAGCCCCTTGCTAAGGCGGGCTACTTGACAAGTGACTGTGCTGTGCCAGTTGAGGATGGTAACGAATACGTCGAACAAGCAAGCGTTTATAGGTCGAGGTGTTCGGTACTCGTCATGATCGCTGGTGTGCTTCAAAGGGCGACAAGGCTGAGGTGGGAGTTCCTGGGACGGCATCAGTTGGTGCCAGTATCCGGTCGCACGGCGTCATCACAGCATACGAGTTGATGCAAGATGATAACTTGAAGGAGGCTGCCTACCAAGTTAGCGCTTAGGCATCAAGTTTAAGCGGCATCCATATTCATGTATGAACATGCAACTTTGGCTAGCTATGCATGATCAAGTCCATCGTTGTTCTGGCGCTGAAGTGTAGCGTATATAGAAAACGCGCCTGGATAACGATGGTCGATTAGGCAGATCTTCACTTAGGAGCACATGAATAAGTGCAACAACCATCTGCATCGAATCTGGAATCCCCGCCCAATCGCCTTCGGCGGGATCTGGAGCAGTGAGAGAAATACCAAAGCAGCTGCAGCTGCAAAAACAAAAGTGAGTTTTGTGAGGAACATTGGTAAATCAATAAGTGCTTACCAGCTGGCGTATATGCCTTATGTGGGGGAACGGAGGGCCCGGTGTTCAAAACACACCATCGAGGTAAGTTCCTGCATAGACACAAACTCATCAGCTGCTGTGCTGCACCTGGATGAATGGTGGGCTTGTATCACTTCCGTTCCTCGGGTGGCACCTCCTACAATACTCTTCCCGAAACTAGATCGATATCTTGCGCGCCTTCTTCTGCGAGGTCTCTCCATGAGAGTGATGGCCCCGCCTTGGTCCGCCTCAACATCTCCACTCTGCCGACCAACCCACACCATCTCACGGAGGTATCGATACTCGGAGAATGGCACACATGTCAGCATCGGCCACCACATGCTATTAGGGGCTAGAATGTTGCATTCATGCTCGTTCAAGGTAGCACGAGGATACGGTGGCGAAGAACTAGGGAAGATCATATCAGTATCGATAAATCGACTCAGCGTACCTCGTGACTGGGCTCAGAAGACGACCATGACCATGAAGTAGGAATTCAAAGTCGAATGGGCGAAGGGCAAGGCCTTCCAGATCGGATTGCGAAGACCACATGTATTTCTAGCGGTAGCACTGAAGGTTCTTCAGGTAGATTTACGTCAGACAGAAGATCGCAAGGCATCGCTATCCACGTACATGTGTTTCCCTTCACCGCCATCTTCTGGCGCGGCACGGCTCTGATGCGCAGTGCGGTTGCACTGCCTAGCGAGCACCTACGCCATTCTTGCGCAGTATGCCACTCGAATGCCCATGCTCTGAGTATGACTCCAATGTTCACAAGCGCCATCATCGTCCAATCGCATGCTTCGACTCCCTCGATTACGATGTGATCGCGAGTGAGGGTCGGAAAGAAGTCGACGAGTTTGGATTTTTCTGGATGTGCAACATGTAGTGCGGGAAGTTTAGTGTGCGGGCGAGGCTACCACTGCGTATGTGAACTCTTTGATAGATATAACAAATGGTGGAGAGCGATCATGCTACGGAAAATAACTAATCAACGATATTGTAGATAGAACCTGTGAAATCGTACCTGTTGCCAAAGTAATGCACGGCGCGTGCTGTATCGACGTCGTGGCTCAGCAACAAAGATATAAATGCAACTTGCCTGTACCTGCAAGACCTTGAGCGTGCCACCTTCAATATGCTCCGTCATCACCTGTTCCCTGACGTAACATTGATTATCCGCGCAGCCACGGTGCCAAAGCTTGGGCTTGCGAGTTATACATCCGCACGGTGGGATGATCAGATGCAAGTAGACTCGCAACAACAACAAAAAATATTGATCACCTACATGACTATGGCGACACACACAAATCTTCTGCAGGTACCAAGTTTCTTTTTTGATGTATCAGTAACTGTTCGACTCGATGGATCACAATCTGGTTTCAACTACAACATTCCGAGGTCTTTTGCTGTCCACTCAGGCGTGGTGGTCGAGTCTTTCTTGGCACCTTTATGAGTGCCTATTGTCGACGAGTAGTATCTGTCGCAACGTTCGAAGCACCTTATCTTTGTGGTTGCGACATAGAACATATAGATAGCCCGGATCAGTGATTCAGTAGGTAGCTTACTACTAAGTAGTAGCTGTCGGCATCTTAAAAAGTAAGGGAGAAGGCAAGGGGGGGAGGTGGGAAGATTTGGGCATTTCCGCGTAGCGCACATGGCGTCGGTAAGCCTCGCCAGCATCAGCTGGCGTCGGTATTTTCGGTTATTTCGCTAAGGTGGCTGAAAAAAGCATCCCACATGGTTCTGTCAACCGGAGTTTGAATTTCCGAAAACCATTGTCCCCTACTGTACCAGCTCGCTGTCCAAAATTGGGAATTTGTAAAAATTGAGCCACAATGGGATACACCAAGCAAATAGAAAAATGTGAAAAATGCGAAAATAGAAAGATGGGATTGGCAGGTGCTCACTGGCCCTCCATTTTGCACAACAACAATGATTTTATATGTACTGTAACTGTGATACATGATGATAAATGGTAAAAATTGAAGGACAAAAAGGGATTTTGGGATTTTTTTTGGGGGAAAAGAGAAAAGAGAACACCAAGCCAGTAGAAAAATGTGAAAAATGCAAAAATGCGAAAATATAAAGATGGCAAAAATTGGCAATGGGTAAACAGGAGAATGGGAGGATGGAGAATGGAGAAATGGGGTGAATAGGAAGATGGGAGGATGGGAGGACAAGAGGAGGACAAGAGGACACAATGGGAGGATGAGAGGGCTACAGGAGGACAAGAGGAGGACAGGACAATGGGACATGGGAAAATGGGACACGGGAGAACAGGACAACAGGACATGGGACATGGGACATGGGACACGGGAGAACGGGAGAACAGGACACGGGACATGGGACACAGGACAATGGGACATGGGACAACGAGACATGGGACATGGGACAATGGGACAACAGGACACAGGACAACAAGACATGGGACAATGGGACATGGGACAAGATAATTGGGAGGAAGTGTATGAGTCAATAGCATGACACAAACAGTTTGACTGAAGGTTACCTGGGACACTGGCTTGCATCCCGCTGGCCGAGGCACGAGGCCACGGGATCGCAAGCCAGTGTCCCAGGTAACCTTCAGTCAAACTGTTTGTGCAACATCCCATAACTAAAACAAAACTATATAATGTAAGAAATTATTGATTTGTTATAATTAAATAATATGTAGACACAGTGAGACAAGGCACCGAAGGTGCCTCCAGCAGAGCACGAAGTGCTCTGCTTGCTTCCTGTGCCGAAGGCACAACGGGCTTGGACTCGTCTTAAAAAGTAAGGGAGAAGGGTGTGGGGGAAGGGGTGGGAGACGGGTATTCCGCGTAGCGCACATGGTGTCGCCAGCGTCGGTTTTTTTCGTTTACAAGCCGCTTGGAATGCTTATTTCGCTAAGGTCGCTGAAAAAGGGATCCCATGTGGTTCTGTCAAGCGGAGTTTGAAGTTGCGAAAACCATTGTCCCTTACTATACGAGCTCACTGTCCAAAATTGGGAATTTGTAAAAATTGAGCCAAAACGGGATACACCAAGCAAATAGAAAAATGTGAAAAATGCGAAAATGCGAAAATAGAAAGATGGGATTGGCAGGTGCTCACTGGCCCTCCATTTTGCACAACAACAATGATTTTATATATGTACTGTAACTGTGAATACATGATAAATAGTAAAAATTGAAGGACAACAAGGGATTTTGGGATTTTTGTGGGGAAAAGAGAAAAGAAAACACCAAGTAGAAAAATGTGAAAATGCAAAATTGCAAAAATATAAAGATGGGAAAAATTGGCAATGGGTAAACAGGGGAATGGGAAGATGGAGAATGGAAAAATGGGGTGAATAGGGAGGATGGGAGGATGGGAGGAAGATAGGAGGACAACAGAAGGATGGGAGAACAATGGGGAGGATGGGAGGACAAGAGGAGGACAAGAGGACACAATGGGAGGATGAGAGGACAAGAGGATGGGAGGACAATGGGAGGACAATGGGAGGATGGAAGACAGGAGGACAGACAATGGGACATGGGACATGGGACACGGGACATGGGACACGGGACACGGGACACGGGACACGGGACACGGGACACGGGACATGGGACACGGGACACGGGACACGGGACACGGGACACGGGACACGGGACACGGGACACGGGACACGGGACACGGGACACGGGACACGGGACACGGGACACGGGACACGGGACACGGGACACGGGACACGGGACATGGGACAATGGGACATGGGACAACAGGACAACAGGACAACAGGACAACGGGACAACGGGACACGGGACAACAGGACAAACAACAGGACAACAGGACAACAGGACAGTGGGACAGTGGGACACAGAACCATGGGACATGGGACACAGGACATGGGAGATAGGAAATCAGATAATTGGGAGGAAGTGTATGAGTCAATAGCATGACACAAACAGTTTGACTGAAGGTTACCTGGGACACTGGCTTGCATCCTGCTGGCCGAGGCACGAGGCCATGGGATTGCAAGCCAGTGTCCCAGGTAACCTTCAGTCAAACTGTTTGTGCAACATCCCATAACTAAAACAAAACTATATAATGTAAGATGTAAGAATTTATTTATTTCTCACAAGTAAATAATATGCAGACACAGTGAGTCAAAGCACTGAAGGTGCCTCCAGCAGAGCACAAGTGCTCTGCTTGCTTCCTGTGCCGAAGGCACAACGGGCTTGGACTCGTCTATAAAGTAAGGGAGAACGGTATGGGGGAAACCGTGTGAAACGCGTATTCCGCGTAACGCACATGGCGTCGTCAGTATCGATTGCGTCGGTTCTTTCGGTTATCAGACCTTTTAGGAATTTTCGCGTGCTTTTCATTTTCGGAGTTCCATTTCCCTACGAGTTTCGAAACCCTTGCAATCTGAACACCTCTTTTCCCCCACCATCTGTTCCCTCACATACTATTGTTGAAATTGTTGAATACCATCTCCCCAGTGATTATTTGTAAATTTGTAGTGAAATTCCCCTCCTGGGGTAAGCTTTACTTATTTAAATACCAAAATAACTTGAAAAATTCAAAAAAAATAGTGATTTTCGCTTTTCTGCTGTTCTTGGACTGTGTATTGGACCGTTTGGACCTCCCTTGGACCTCCCTTGGACCCCTGGACCCCCCTGGACCCCCCCTGGACCCTTTTGGAGAGCAGGTTCGTGTGGTGTGTTTGTTGTTTGTTTCTGGGCCCGAATCCCACGGAGGAACGGGGGAAATTGGGTATACAAGACGAACGTGTGAGGAGTCTTGCGGGCGTCTTCTGCAGTTGTCAAAGACTGTCCTGTGAGATCTCCGTGTCAAGTCCTACCTCCCTGGCTGCCTGTTTTTACGGGTGTTTGCCGGTTGCTATCAGCTTTTGCTGGGACCTCTGATAGCACTACAGTGCAGAGATTTGGTTGGCGGGACGCTTTTTGCGTTGAGTCTGACTGCTGGGTGTTCTATCTGGCAGTTGCTCACAGTTGCCTTCCTATCCCCTGGGATAATATCTCGGACAGCATTTTTGTTGTCTTCGGCACTGTCATACGTCGATTTCCTGACGCGATCCTGACCTCGGGAGGCTCAGACTTCTTCGACCACCCACACACACCCACTTTCTTGGATTCCGACCTATGTGCGTATAATGTGTCTCTCATGTCTTCCTCAACTGATTTTGCTGCAGTGGTGTTTCTATCCTATCCATTGCCAGATTTTGCCTCATTTTTCGATTTTGTTGCTACGTACTGCCATGTTCGTACATCATTTATATATTTTTATTGAGTCCTGCTAATTAATTTCTCCTTAGGCTTCCTTCCACTCCACCTACTTCCCCTCAACGAGCCCAGTCTGCTGCACGTCATGCTGAGAGAAATCAACGTAATCTTGGCTCGCCTCCTGCACGACGTGTACCGCAAAATGACCCTGCTCCTTTAGCCCCAGATGCTGCCCAGATTGTATGTCTATTTTCATTTAAAATGTTGACCATTGCTGACATATCCCATTTAGAATATTCCTCATATGCTAGGAAATTTAAATCATGCTCAGATCCCTGTGCA